TTATTAGGTTATACATTAAACAAGAAAAAACGCAAGAAATATTTATCTTGTCTCGTCCACACCTGTCAAATATTAAAATTATCTCTACTTTAATACCTAATAAAATATATTTGACAATTTTGATGCAAAAATAATATACAATAAATTCCCCACATTTTTTTTATAAAAACAGGTTTGTGATTTGTCCCGTCAGTACGCTTGAAATGGTCGATGATACATAATATTTTTGTATAGGTGTCGCTCTATATATATATAATAACTGATTATTTAAAATAATAATCGTAAAAAAATAAGATGCAACTAGTTTATAAACTTTTCTGGACACTCATTCTTCTCTTGTATCTATAGATAGTATATTATGTATTAAGTTTTATAAACGCCATTTTTAATTATATCTATATATAGATATAATTAAAAATGGCGTTTATAAAACTTAATACATAATATACTATTATATATAAAGCTTAACAAAATATTATAATTAGAAATCAAGAGTTATTGATGATATAGGTAGGTAGTAACGTAATTAATATAATGGCATAATTAATTAGTTATTAATAAAACGATGCGGTAAATTGTCTGGTTAAACGTTAATTAATTTATGTAATTAAAAATTTAATAATTTATATATTTTTTTTTATTTAAAAAAATTTCAAAACTATCTCAGAAACAAAGAGTTTCCTGAAATTAGTAGATCGGAAGTTTTTGCTTATTTTCATGCAAAGAATCTCATTCTATTTTTTGCAATATTTATGACATCCTTTATATTGTATAAACTGGGAAATATCCATAATATGGATAATAACATATGAATGATATATCCAGAATATTTTAGTTTCTATTTATGCATCTATGAATATTTTTAAGGTAATTCTTCATATTGAAATTATTGGGCAACTGTTGCCCAATAATTTCAATATGAAAAATTCTTGCCATTCTTCTAACCTTATAATTTAACTGTCGCAAGAGTATAGTAAAAGGATTTGCCGTAAAAATATTTCATTTTGCAAAAGTGAACGGTACTTATTAAGCCGATCATTATGGTTAAGTTTGATGGATAGTCCTTTTTGCAATAGAAGTACGAATTATGCATCCTGTGTCTAAAATATCGATGCCTTTCGTTTTAAAATGTGGAATTTTTTATCCTAAACAGCAAAATGATGATTAGCTCGAAGCGATGCAAGTGAAAGTCAAGTAGCCTTCTTGTACTAGCGTGGTATATGCGATTTTAAATAATATAAATTGTAAAATGTTCTTTAAGTTTATTAGGAATCTCGTATAAATTTACGTAGTGATTTTTTTTTAATTTACGCGTAATGTTGCTCAAGAGTTAATTAATAGTTTATTTGAATAAAGTTATTGAGAGATTGTTCATCTTGCATATCATGTGGGTAAATTTTAACATTAAGGGTCATCCAGTGAATGGCCGGTTGTGTAACCTAGATACAGATGGTGCATGATTATATTTTTTATAGAGCATGAAATAGTTAAAATAGCATATAAACATTATAGCGTGCTTTTTGATACTAAAAATCTTAATATAATTTTATTATCAAGTTTTAGTGTTTGATTTTTTTTATGCCGTTGCAAAAAATGGCGAATGCACCGGGAATATAAAAGATATATTTTACAAATTTGGTAGACTTATTAATTTTTGTATCTAAAGTGTATTTAAACTTAACGCGAACTAAATGCAAACACAATCCGAGTCACACCCTCCGAATCCACCAATAAGAACACACAATCCGAGTCACACCCTCAGAATCGACCAATAACAACGAGTTATCACGTCACTGTAGTAATTAATTTTAAACGAAGAAAGATATTATATTAATGTGTAAATTATAAAATAACACAAAAATGTACGCAATATTAAAAAATAGTGGATGATGGAAGAAACCCCCAGTAATCCTAAAACATAGAGAAGACGTCATTAAACTTTTCACATTAATTGTAAAATTGTTTGGAAATAATCTTCCCATGTTCGCAGCCTCTCACATAATTTATTAACCATTAATTAAAACAATTAAATATTACCACATTTAGTCTTCATGAGAATTTTTTTTAAACAGTTAATTTAAAAAATTAAAATGCACCTGTTTTAACCTTTTACATAAGTTATATAACATAACTTTAACCGAATTATGAAAATTATTATTCCAGAAGCACGTCCAACATCTTTGGGATTATCTGAGGTCAAGATTTACTATTATGAATTAATTTAACATTATGTAGGGAAAGCCAAACTATTATTATTATTATCCACGATGGGACAGACAGTTAAAAAATTGTTTTATTTGCAGTATATTTAGTATACAGGGTACACCAAGGATCCTTATATGCATGGGTATATTTTTTGTTTGAATAGCTACGTCGGTTAAATTAGACAAAAGTTGCTTATTAAAATGAAATTTTCATATTGGATAAAAAATCAGTGGTTCTCAAATAATAAAATAAAAACTAAAAACCTGTCAAAACCTAAAATCGTTATAACTTTATTATTCCTTTAAATTTTGAAAAAAATAAGTTTTACATTTACCCACATTTTTATCCAATTTGTGATTTTTTTTGCCTTCTGTATTTCGGGAAACCACCACTATCTTTTGTTTTTCCTATGGCCACCATATTAAAATTTTACATTATTGGATAAAAAAATCCAACGATGCATCAAACTACATAAGTTGGTGGCCATAATAAAAACAAAAAAAGGTGATGGAACCTACCTCAAAACATAGTAGCGAAGAAATTAAATGAAAATGTAGATAAATGTGTATGTTTACATGTAAAACTTACTTTGTTTTTTGTTTTTTTCAAATATTTTGAGAACCGATGTTTTTTTTCAATTTTAAATTTGATGTTAATAGGAAATGTAATTAAGGAATCTATTTATAATTTAACCAACCTTGAAGCTCTTTAAATAAAAAAATACCCATATAAGTATATATGTATGTGTATTCGATGCACCCTGTATAGGTATTTTGGAAATGGTAACTAAATAATCCAGTAAATGGGGGATAGCTTTGATATATTAGAACTCATATAATTATCATTCGTGTGATGTTTGGCAACCATTCCTTCACTGGAGTGATTACAAAACTAACTGAAAAAAGTACAAAAACGTTGTGAATGCAGAAGACACGCATGTGATGATTTTGGAGAGCCAAAGTCCAAATGTGAATAAAAAAATGTTGAACAAAATTAGTTTCTAAAATTAATTTTTGGCCCACGGTGCAAAGGTCGTTTGACTTGATTACGAAAGAACATTACCTATAGAAGAAAGTCCCAAATTCAGTTATATATAATACATTTTAAACAATCATGTGAATATTTATTTATTCATAATGATCAACAACATATGGTACTAAATCATGGAATCATCATCTTTGGAAGAAAGTGTTCTCACACCTGTTTTCGAGAAATAAATTAAAATTTGTAATAAATGCGTGATGTATTGTGCCGACCTTTAGGGGAAAGTTTTCAATGCCTACGTACATAACTATAACTAATAAATTGTAGAAAATTTACAAAAAATTTGCATATAACAAAATATTAAAATTATTAGGAAGTTACCAAAAAATGTAATCAAAAATAGAAAATTTAAAAAAATCACAAATTAAATATTCTATTATGTATTAAGAATTTTAATTAGGCACAGCAAAGCTTGCGAGTGTGTGTTTAATAAAAAATGTGTCTAAAAAGTTTATAAACGAGTTTTATACTTTACTTTTACTACAATAAAATATTTGTATAAAGCGACAGAGTAGCCAAATTGGTGTTAGGAATCAGTTTTGCCGGCCTTTAAAATGTCAGTTTGAAGAGAATGTTTTACTCTACCTAAATGTTAATACTTATCTATCGGTTTTATCGGCCAATAGTAGTTTCAGTTTTATAATTTTGTATGTTTGCTTTGAGAGATAATAACATAATTTCTACATTTCAGTATTATTTCACAAGAACGGCACTTTATTTAAACGATTGTATGGCATTTGATAACTAATTTAAAGCTAAGTTCAGTCTGTGACTAAAATTCCATAAAGTCACAGCTTGTTAATGTATTTAAAAGATCACTTAGTGCCATGGAAACAAGTACGATAATGGGCGTTTTAAAGGTGAGGAGAAAAAAAATATTTCGTCACCAGATACTATTAACTAATTCACACAATCTCAGTAAATCAATGTGAAATTAACCACTGCATTACCATTTAGTAGCATTGTTTGAGTATGGGAAAACGTTGTTAACAGAAAGGGAAATTTTACTTACATATATATCCGGATTCTGCAAGAACATCTTCAAAGTAGAAAGTTTAAATTCTTTACCCATAAATATGCGTGAATTAATACATGAATCTCATTGAAAAGTGTATAAAAATAAATGAAATTAATAACCATAATTAAATTAATTATTCAACAGAATTTTAGTATTTAAATAGTATTTTTTTCTTTAAAATAATTTTACATATTTTTTACAATTATTGCACATCAAACATAACGTAGGTAGTTAATAAAATCAGTACATTTTATTAATATTTTATAAGATTTATTATTTTTCAATGTTTTTTTGGAAATTAAATATATATTTTTTAGTAATTTTTACGTTTAAAAATTTTTCTAAATTTTGCCTAAATTATTGTATTTTTTCTTATTAATGTCCTGCTTTTATTTGAATTTTTTTAATTTTTAACATGATTTCATTAAAAAATATATATAATCCGGTCTCTAAACATACCTAACAGTGAATACCACAAATTGTTTTTAATGCTTGTAGGTACAATAATCATATGAGAACAAAAAACAACGGTAAACAATAGTTGAGAAATCTGTGAATGAAATCGCAAATTACTAATCACGGAGCAATTAATAGAAAGGGTAACGTGACAATCCGCAAGATCGTGCCGATTTCGATCCAATTGACCAATAACAGAACTTAATTATTAACCATGAGATTTTCCATTATGAAATTGCCAACAAAGTAAACAATCGTTTTTTCTTTTTTGTTGCAGCAATATTTGGATCAAAGGAGTCAGCTGTCTCCGCAACAGCAGAGTCATATTTTAAGCGACGTCCAGCAGCATCAGCATAGATTCAGTTTGAACCCCAATAATCATTTTCCGAATCAACAATTCACGAGGCATCAACAAATCGTGCAACAAAGCGGTTTGTTTAATCAACAACCTAGTAATAGATTTAATAATGAACAGATTAATAGGTTTAATAATGAACAGAGATTTGTACAACCTACCCAAGCTAATAACATACAATTTCCAACACAAGCCAGTGCACAACAACAGTTTTTGAATCAAAATTTACTGCAGCAGCAACAGAATTTATTATTGCAACAACAACGGCAGTTTTTAAGCAATCAACAATTGCAGAATGTGTTGCCTACAAATCAAGGGCCTTTACCTCAACCTCAACTGCAACAATCCTCAATTGTACAACCCGATAACTTGGTACCGACTGCATTCCCAATTCAACAAACCACAAACAATATCGTTCAACATCATACTCAAACAGCATTCACCCCAAATTTCATCAACAACCAACAAAATAATCACAACCCATTCCAAGTGAGGCCAACTCAAGATCCAATCCAACTCATTCAACAGCAAATTCAAGCTTTGGACCCTGAGAAGCATAAGCAAAGAATTAAGGAGTTAAGAGATAAGCAAGCCATCATCGAAAAACATAATAAGTTTGTTGAGGCCCAGTACGACAAAGCTTTAAAGAAGGCACAAGAAGAACACGAGGAATTTTTGGAGGAACAAAAAGATCACAAGAAGAAATTGTACACCAAGTTATACAAACAACCTGGTTCAATACAACAGTATACAAGCTTTTCACAGCCTAGATTGATATACCCAGAAGAGACGCCATTATTTAAGAAGGCTTTGGATCAATACTACAAAGAACATCCTACTACAACTACCACTACAACCACCACAACTACCACGACTACACCTAAGCCTACTACACCTAAGAGGTCTGCTAAGAAGTTAAACAAACCATCATTTTTGCCGACTGTATTACCGTCATCACAATCCAAAGTAAAAGCCATTCAATCCCTTGAAGATTTGGATAATTTACGTAAAAAATATAAATCACAGCAAATCCAAAAAGATGACTTACTAGCCCAACTAAGGCTCGCCATTGGTAATACACAAGAAGACGAATCCAAAAACCTTTCATCCAGAGAAATTTCACTGGCTAATGGAAAAAAAGTCCAGTTAATCCAAACCTCAGACTCTGAGCTCCTACCAAAAGGTAAAATCGAAGAATTGACATTACCAAATGGTGATAAAGTGCAAGTGGTCCGCGCCACACCAAAACCTGACGAAATTAAACCCGACGAAATCACTTTACCAACAGGTCAAAAAGTACAAGTAATCAAAACCCCCAATTCCAAATTTCTACCAGAAGGTGATGAAAAACCAGAGGAAATCACTCTACCGAATGGTCAAAAAGTATTCGCCATCAAAACCACCGATCCAAATCTTATTGCCAGCGCCTCGACTGCATCATTAGGTTCTAAACAACCAGCTATAAACACTCAAGAAATCACATTACCCAACGGAGAAAAAGTCGAGATCATCAAAACTACAGATCCTAAATTAGTGCCTGGTGCAACCCCTCTTGAACCTGGAAGCGATTTGGAAAAATTAGTCCTCGCACGTACAACAACATTAAAACCACCAAAGGCAGTCCTCGATGAGTTAACTAAGAACGTCGGTCCTGGTTTTAAAATTGATTTACTTAAAAGTGGATCCAACGGAGGTTTAGAGCAAATTGTAAGCGCATCTAACTTACCCGACAAGAAAAAGGTCACCTTCGTGCTTCTTGAGGAACAAAGCGATGGTACGTTGAAAGTCCAAGGTGTTAAAGGTAATGGTAAAGGTAAACCTGAAGTTGATGTTGATTCAATCCTTAAGAGAATTAAGAATGGCGAGATTAAGTTACCAAACTTACCTAAAACAACCAAAAAGGCAGAAATCAAGGTTTCCACTACAGATAGGCCAGAGGGCGTTACAGTGACTCCTAACTCTATTGCATCAGAAGAAACTGGACCTATTTTGAAGACCAACATTGGAACACAATTCATTGCTACCTCCACACCAATTTCCACATTATATACAAAAGTTTTCTCCAGCACAAGAAAGCCAACTTACTATAATTTGGATGACGCACCAAAATCCTCAAAATCAAACTATGTATCCTCAACCACAAGCAATTATATTACATCCACACCATCCTCGACATCTATTAAAAGTACAACACCTAGATCCATCTCTTTGAGCACATATTCTGTAGAAACCCATAGAGAACCACATATTCTAAACTTCGCACAATCAAACCTGAATGACTTGGTAAAGGAGGCGTCTTCAACAGTGGCAAATATGAACCAAAACTCGATTGTGACGACATTCCACGGACCGAAATTGAATGAGGAATCATCTGTGACACTGCAGCAAAGCGTATCGCCCACTGCTGCCACCTTACCAGAAACACAGTCTGGAAAGGCACTGCCCGAGATTTTAAAGAAGAACGGATTGTTCGCCATGGCTAAATTCTTGAAGCAATCCGGTTTGGATACGATTTTGAACGAAACAGGACCTTACACCGTTTTTGCGCCCACTGATAAGGCGTTCAGGACTCTGTTGGTGCAACTTGGAGGTCCAGAAAAAGCAGAGGAAAAGTTCAAGGAGAACCCAAGATTGCTCAGTGGAGTAAGTACTACAAAAATGGTTTTTAATTGACTTCTAATATTCTATGTTTTTTTCTTAGCTTTTGTTGCACCACGTGATTCCAGGGGCTTTTACTATTGGTGATTTGCAGGATGAAATGACAGGAGTATCCTTAGCAGGGACGCAACTAAGAGTGAACCAGTACAACATGCATGATGTCGAGTGGAATGATGTAAAGGTTTGTTTACACTGTTAGATCATGTAGCAACGGTGGCTTAGCTATAATTTTTAAAACAAAACTATCATAAACTTTTTTATCTCCTGCGTTGCCTTCTTTCTCTAAAAAGAAAGAGAATTTTAGAATGCATTAAGTTTCTTCCATACTCAAGACAGTATATCACTGAACACTTTAATTGTTTGAATTAAATGACACAAACTCGCTTTTTAAATGTTAAAGAGCGTGTAATACGTTGGCAAAAATTTCACTCTCAGATTAACTATACTGTTGACATTGGGTTCATTAACTAGGAAAATCATGGATCTTATTGCAAACCTTGACATGTTTTGTTAACATTTAAACAATACGATTATTAAGTAATTTAACAATTAGATATTTAAGTTAATTGGGAATCGTTAACAAGCTTATTTAAATATAATTTCTTTAATTGTTATAGATGTTACCACATTGTTTAAATGAACTTTGTAAAGGTTCATGTTAATTGTTTTGTTGCGTATTTTTAACTAGATCATCTTTCTTCTTACAAAAAGAAGAAATAATAGTTTTCACAATGAATTGTTTATTCAAAATAAACATCTTTCATAGATCACCACTATCAACGGAGCTAAAGTACTGGACGACAAGAAAGACATCGAGATACCTCAAGGCATAGCCCACTCTGTGGACCGCGTAATGTTCCCCTTGCCAGTCGGAGACTTCGTTCAGACCTTGCAATCAGATAGGGAGAGACGTTTCACGAACATCCTCAGAGCAATTTTCGCGTCCGGTTTAGCTGAGATGCTTCAAGAATCAAAAACTTTCACACTTTTCGCTCCGACTGATAAGGCTTTCGAAGCTTTATCCAGCGAGGATCTAACGAAAACCGTGACAGATAGAACGCTGGCCAGAGAGTTAATTTTGAGGCATATGGCGGTTGGTACTTTGTACACCAACGGTATGAGGTACTACCAGATTAGAGACAGTTTGCTCCCCGATAGACAGCTCACTCTCAGCAAGCAATCAGGTCAGTTCTTTAAGGTTTTATATGTTTTATAAAAAAGTCTAGGAGCTAAGACACTCTTAAATATTTTGCTTAAAAGTGATTGTTTCGCGCCAATATGTTCACGAAACAAGCATTTTACAAAACGAGAAACAGTAGAAAGTTATCTGTACCTCATTATTCTTCGGCAATTATTTCAGATGTTCACACATTAAAATCTGCTTTTAATCTGTGTGAAAATAAAAATAATAAAGCAGAAAAATTGGTTTTAACAAGCTAAATTACACGTCAAAGGTTTATAGAACCTATAAGTAAATTACAAAATATTTTTGTTTCCTTTCACCATATGATTTTAATTTAAACGATGACACCTTTCATATTTGACCTAATAAAATAAGAATTGTACAAAATACAATGATAATCATTAAATGATTTTATAATAGTTATTTATCTATTTTGCGTTCATAATGACTTCATTATAACACCGCTTTTGGTGCTGTAATGAGAAACTTTATCCCACCCAAAATTTTGATTTTATAGGTTGGCTATACTTTAAACAGCATAATTTTGTTTAACACCAAAAAAATCCTTTTTTTCTTCTTTAACATTAACAGCCGCTTATTGTAAATAAGTAAATTAAGGACGGCATGGCGAATCGATTTTGACATTAACTGTGGTACCAACTATCTAAAGTAAAATTCGACCAAATTAAATTTAAGGTATAAAATTAATTTTTTGTATAGAATTTTTGCAAAATAGATAAAATAGCATAAAGAACTCATGTCATAAGACCTTTTGTCGCACTCGTCCATTACAATCCATAAATCCGCGTGCGACAAAATGACGTCTTATGACATTGGTTATTTAATATACTATTATGTCATAAGGCTGAGAAGTGATTCTTTTTGTGTTGAGCTGAGCGACGCGTTAGCTAGGCGAAGCACTAAAAGATCTTATTTGATCAAAATCGATCAAGTTTTAAACTGGATCATATTAGATCATAAAAACATTATCGAGTGTCAATGCCATTTTGTAAGTTTTGATAACCTAATCATAAATATATTGTGCTACATCCATACTTTAATTGATGACATTTAGTTAAAGAACGCTTACCTATAGATGTAGTCCCAATTACCACATAAGGGCGTATCTCATATTTAACAATTTTACAGATCATTTAATTTAATTTTTTTTAAACAAAATGTAGGTACTACCTACTAGTTAGTACCTACACTTAATGTAATACCTACCTAGTATGTATTATTATTATTTTACAAACTTTTATTCTGTAAAATTGTTAAATATGAGATAAGCCCTTGTGTGATAATTGGTACAATATATGAGACCAAAAAAAGCTAAATTCAACACGTGACTAAAAAGCCCAAAAGCCGTGGAGAAAGAAATCAATTTTCTCCACAGTTTAAGACTGAGCCACTTTCTTAATTGAAACGTATAAAAAATGTACTTACAAATCCTTTAATATGATCAGAAAAAAGTTATTAAAGAATTCTAAATATTAATACCCTGAATATATAGATACTTTTTCTGCGATGGAAAGTAGGAATTAAAATTATAATATTAATTTGATGATCTTTGTAATACCTATACATAATTACAGTTCTTAAACATTGTTCATTAAAAATAACTTTCATCTAATAAGATGCATTTAAAACCCATTACATTTTATTATAAAAGCCTTTTTTAAAGTTTACATTATTAATGCTTTAAGGTTGTAGATAGGTTTAAATATTGATTAAGATTTCTTTTATGTTTTTTTGTCTTGTATTGGTCACATACATATTGTGGAAAGTTCTTCTTTTAAGATGACACAAAGAAGGCCGATTCGAGAAAGTGACTTAAGGTCAAAGTCATCAACGTGCGAATTACTAAAATGCATATCTTATGACGAAATTGTTGTCACAAAGTAATAAATTAATATTCGTTTCTTCTAAATTTAAATTAAGGAGAATAGGATGTTTATTTTGGGAGAAGAAAGTGAAACTGAGCACCATACGACACAGCGCGCTCGTGTGAAATTCACACGCTGTGAAATTTAGACAAATTAACTATCAAAACATCTTCACCCGAAGGCTAATGAAAGTAAAATTTAAAAATGTAATAAATCAACGGCAAATATTTATATAATCAACTTACCTCAGCACATTTCACTAAAAAAAATAACTGTTTTTGATGGCTAAAAAAAATAACTGTTTTTGATGGCTCTCATTTAAATTTTTGACATTTGTCCCTAGGCACACAGAACATAAGCCTAGGCATTTGTCATCAACATAAGCAAACTAAAGGTTGACCTACACGTTGGACCCTAAAATTTATGAAAACTTTTTAGTTTAAAAATTAAATTTAAAGAATTTTTAATAATATTTGTAAAATTTAAGTCTTTAATTAAACCCTGGGTAAATACAATAAATAATTTTTGAAGCATATCCGTAATAGATAGGGTTATTAGAGTTATTAGAATGAAGTTTTAAAAACTCGACAACACTGTGTATTTTATTTTCTAAGCTGAAATATCACACACCTAAAAACATTTAAGAAACAGAATAAGGCATCTGCGAGTAGCTCAAGTAAACATGATTGGCAGATTTCTCCGACAGTTTGGGTAAAAAAAAATTAAATGTAAAAATAGGTTTTTCAAAAAAAATTGTAGATATAAACTTACAATTCCAAAAAAACCGGTCATAAATAAGGATAAAATGGTTTATGTAAAAACAAAAAAAGGTCGATAATTTAAAAACAAAAGTTCAAATAAAACATATTTAGTTAGTCCCAGTACGATCTACGTTGTATAGGAAAATATATAGTAAAAATATTAAAATACAAAATTTGGTATGTCGTTACTGGACCATTTTAAGTGTTATATTTTTATGTTTACATATACATATATCTTTGCTTAAAATATCAATATTTCCAAGTTGTGGTAAATTATTTTTTTACACATTTTATAAATAGTTATTCTTGTTTTAGGTAAAGTTAAGATAAACAACATTCAAATTGCCACGCCCAACATCCCAACAACCAATGGAGTCATCCATGCAATAGATTCCCTCCTGTGAACAAAAATTCATAAAAAATTAAAAAAAAACACCAAATCACCATAAGAAAAACGTTGTTAACCCATAAAGTCATAAAATCATTTAAAATAATCTATTTCATGTTATCTTTTAAAATGTTTTCCAATAAGTTCCAACTGTCATTTTGTAATATAGTATTTTATAAGGCTGATTTAAGGAGTTGAGCTTATTGTAACACCTGGCATTTTATTAGAATTTTTGTTGCGTAAGAATATTTAATGTAGGTTTAGGATATGTAAAAAAGTAATTTGTAATATATTTTAATAAAATAATAATTATTTAAAAAAACTGTTTTATTTTGTGTGTGGATTTCTTTACTTTCTAATTTTGCGTGTGGGGTCTCCTTAAGCTGGCGGTTGTCAATAACATAACCTAATATTTTTAACCTCAAAAAGATGTCGTGAGAAAGTTTACTGTATAATAAAGATATAACGATTAATTATAGTTGTAATTATAATATATTACTAAAATGGGTACCAAACTGGCTGAGGATTTGTTTGGAGATCCGAATTTTTACAAGAAACCGATAAAAGAAATCGAAGTATGTCTGCAATGTTTTGATGTTATTTTATTGAATTTTATTGGGTTTTAGGAGAAGTGGAAGCTAGTTCCGGCATTCTTAAAGGTTAAAGGACTAGTTAAGCAACACATTGATTCTTTTAATTATTTTATTAACGTTGAAATTAAGAAAATTGTTGAAGCTAACAATAAGGTTACATGTGATGCCGATCCTTTGTTTTATATTAAGTACAAGGCTTAATTGTATACAAATGAATCATTTTAAATACTTTATATTGCAGATATACTAATGTATATGTAGGAACACCTGATGTAGATGAAGGTTTTAACATAAGTAAACCCACTACGCCTCATGAGTGTAGATTGAGAGATATGACTTATTCAGCCCCTATTTCTGTTGATATAGAATATACAAGGGGTACAGATAGGGTGTCCAAAACTGGTCTGCTAATAGGAAGGTAATTTTAACAGTACATCACTCTTAAAAGTACAATAAAAACTATTTTTTCAAGAATGCCTATTATGCTCCGTTCTTCAAACTGTGTGCTCTCAAATAAGTCAGAATTTCAACTGGCGAAAATGAATGAGTGTCCTTTGGATCCTGGTGGGTATTTTGTTGTGAAAGGACAGGAAAAAGTTATTTTAATTCAGGAACAATTGTCGAAAAATAGGATGATAGTTGAGGAGGGTAAATTTGGGATTCAATGCCAAGTTACAAGTTCAACGCATGAGAAAAAGTCGAGGACTTTGGTTTTTAGTAAAGGAAATAAATATTACATGGGCCACAATATATTTACAGATGTAATAAGAAGTTTATTGGTTGATTATGTCTGGTTTTATATTGATTCTTTGTAGCCAATTCCGGTCTCTATAATTTTCAAAGCTATGGATGTAATTGCTGACAGAGAAATCTGTGAGCTAATCGGGATTCCAGACATACACAAATTAACACCCACTCTTGAAGAGTGTCATAATTTAAAGATATATACCCAGGAAGGTGCTCTTAGATATTTGGGTGCAAAGTTGGTAGCTAAAAGGTATGTAACGGCTGTTTCTAAAGTTAAGACTCCTTTGGATGAGGCTAGAGATCTTTTGGCTACAACAGTTTTGGCTCATGTGCCAGTGGAGAAATTTAATTATAGACAGAAAGCTATTTATTTAGGACTTATGGTAAGTCTATTAGACCTTAAATGTTAAATACACTTTTTTTGACTAAATCTAGGGGCCTAAAAGAAAACTTGCTCTTTATAAAAATGGTATGTTGTGGCAAAAATGTTTATGTATTTTCGTCTATTTTTTAGCCCTACCACTTGAATTTTTTAAAGACTGTTTGGAAGTTTATTTTTTATTTTTAAGGGTTTAAAAGAAAACTTTCTCATTTTATAAATTTAGAACAAATTTGTTTTCATAGATTTTAAAATTTCTCAAGTAAAAAGTATTTTTTTATTTCTTTCTCTAGGTATATTTTGACTTTTTTTTTTAAATCGTTGAAAATAGCATATTGCGTCAAAAATTGGGAAATTTTAGGATTTTAAAGACTTTAATTTTTATGTGGCTAAAAGAAAACTTAATTGTAGGTATTTAATAAAAACATGTAACTTTATAAAATTTAATTCTTTAAATTAAAAAAAATGACTAAAACTCAAAAATGACGGCATTTCATTTTTTTTGTTTGAATAGATTTTAAAATTTCTTATTATAAAATGCGTTTTTAATTTTTTTTTGTTCTGTATATTTTGACTATTTTGAAAACACTGGCAAAAATTGCCTCTTAGTTTTTTTTTACTTAACTTAACTTTTTAGTATTTTTTTTTTTAATTTTTTTATGCCTTAAAGAAAACTTAATTGTATTTAATAAAAATATGTTATTTTATAAAATTAAATTTCATAAATTTAAAAAAAATACTGAAACACATAATTAACTACCTTTTTAAGAATTTCATTATTTGTTAGTTTTTAAAATTTCCCAATGTATTTTTTTTTATTTTTTGCTCCTTGAATGTATTTTTGAAAATGGAATGTTGTGGCAAATATTGCATTTTTATATATTTTTTAACTTTTAGCCCTGCTAGTAGCTGCTACTAAGTTTTTAAAAACTTTTAAGTAGTTTTTTTTAATTTGTATGTACCCAAAATAAAACTTAAATATATTTAATAAAAATATGTTATGTTCAACAAAATACTATTATAGGTAAAAAGAGTGATTGAGGCGTCGACAGACAACAAATTCCTAGATGATAGGGATTACTACGGAAATAAAAGACTCGAGTTAGCTGGCTCCCTGTTATCCCTAATGTTCGAGGACGTTTTCAAAAGATTCAACTGGGAATTAAAAGCCACAGCTGAAAAAACCATACCCAAAATTCGCGCGACACAATTTGACGTCGTCAAATACATGAGGTCTGACTTGATTACAAGCTGTTTAGTTTTTGCTATATCCACTGTAAGTCTTTGGAATTTTAAGTTTGTTTTTTTTTTAACTTATTCAAAATTGAATTTAGGGAAATTGGACTATAAAACGTTTCAGAATGGAACGTCTGGGAGTCACACAGGTTTTATCGAGGTTGAGTTACATTTCAGCTCTTGGTATGATGACGAGAGTAAACTCACAGTTCGAAAAAACTAGAAAAGTGTCGGGTCCGAGGTCTTTACAGCCCAGTCAGTGGGGTATGTTGTGCCCTAGTGACACACCAGAAGGAGAAGTAAGTTCTGGGGTAATCCAATAGAGTGTTATATAGTTATATTCTTATAGGCCTGTGGATTGGTGAAAAACTTGGCATTGATGACACATATAACGACAGAAGTGGATGAATACCCATTGATAAGACTCGCTAATAATGCTGGTTTGCAAGATATTAACATGGTTGCCAGTATTTCAATACATTCACCACAATCCTTCCTGGTATTTTTAAACGGTACCTAATTAAAGAAAAATAAATGTATACATGTGTTATATATTATAAACTTATAGGTAACATCCTTGGTGTGATTAAAAACTACAAAAAAATGATCAGGGTGTTCAGACTTATGCGCCGCAAGGGCTACATAAGCAGCTATGTTTCTATATACCCGAGTTTTCTACATAAGTGTATCTACATCAGCTCAGATGGCGGCAGATTGTGCAGACCCTATATTATCGTGGAAAAAGGCATACCTTTGGTCAACCAGCAGCATATTCTGGAGTTGGAGAAAGGAATAAGGAGTTTTGAGGATTTTATACATGATGGTAGGTTTTGTACGCATTTGACAATAAACACGCTAAATAGGGTTCTTTCATTAAGGTTTAATCGAATTTTTGGACGTAAACGAAGAAAACGATAGCTTCATAGCTTGTTACGAAAAAGACATCAACGAATTGACAACGCATTTAGAAATAGCCACTTTTACCTTACTTGGTGTGTGTGCTGGCTTAGTCCCATACCCCCATCATAATCAATCGCCCAGAAATACGTACCAATGTGCTATGGGTAAACAAGCTATGGGTACCATAGGGTACAATCAAAAAAATCGTATGGATACACTTTTGTATAACTTGGTGTATCCACAGGCACCAATGTGCAAAACTAAGTCCATAGAGTTGACGAATTTTGACAAGTTACCAGCAGGTTAGTGTTTCTTTAGTTCTGACTTTCTCTTTTACATCTTATTATAGGTCAAAATGCTACAATAGCAGTCATGAGCTATAGTGGTTATGATATTGAAGACGCCCTAATTTTGAATAAGGCTTCAATTGATAGAGGTTTTGGTAGGTGTTTAGTTTACAAAAACTCCAAGTGCATAATGAAAAGGTACGCCAATCAAACGTACGATAGAATCCAAGGGCCCATGGTGGATCCAGCTACTGGACAAGCTATGTGGAAGCATACTTGTCTGGATAATGATGGGATAGCTGCTCCTGGAGAACTAGTACAAAATAGACAGGTAATTCACATCTAGTGTCTTTCTTTTCGACCTATTTTAAAGTACAATCAACACCATTTTGTATGGACCAGTAAGACAGGGAAATGACCCCCACAGTTTCCTTGAGTAGCACAAATTTGAGATGTCGTTTTAGATAACAGTCCCAGTCGCATAAAGGCAGTTACATTTTATCAATAAATATTCTAAATATTGTTGTTTAAATCTTTAGTTGTTCATGGTTTATTGAAATAAAGCCCAGCATTCAAACAAATCCTTGTGGAAATTTTTCTCTAAAAAAGTTTTAATAAGTAAAAGAGTTTTGAAAGTCTCACTTTGTCTTAAAGACTCTGAATAAGACTTATTAAGTCGGAAAAAGTCTGAATAAGTCTTAGTAAGTCAGAATAATAGCAAGATTTGGAAGTCTTCTGGAAGAATTAATAAGACTTTTAGTAAAGAAATGGTAGGTACCTAGGTATAGCTATAGCGATAAAAATGAATATCCGGAATAATTCAAAGAGGTTGTATTTGGTTATTGTAAAATAAAACACATAGAAAAGTATTTATTAACATTTTTGCTGTTGTTATAAGTCAAGTTTATTGCATAATAATTTATTTATTTTTATTGTAAACTTTGTTAAAGTAGGTTTTTTTATAATTATTTGTTGTTTATAATTTTGTCCTGTAATTGGATTTTGTAATCTGTTGGGCAAATAAATATATATATATTATTATAATTACCTATATAATAACATAGGTAATGTGTAATAATTAAAACAATTATAATTTTTACGTACGATGCGCTTGACTTGCTTTCATTGTTGCCACTGTACGTTTTATTTTAATAGTTTTTTTTACATACGCAAACATTTATCTAACCATTGTTTCAAACAATTGTTCTTAAACACGTATAGACGCAATATCGATTTTCTCAGCTGACCAATTAGAGCACAGCTGCCCTTTCAGTCTGACACAATGTTGCTGTTTGCAAGTATTTTACTCGAAAATCGGGTATTTTCGTAATGTTTGCGGATAGAATTTTGAAGCGGGTAAAATCGGGTAATTTGCAAATTTCGATCAAAATAATAACTAAAGAAATTTTCAATAAATAATATTGTACACTAAATATGCACAATTATTTTATTCTATCCTGTTAATTTTTATTGACTAAATTAATTAAATTTATTTTTTCAAAACGGTGAATGCGCTAGTAAATTTGAAATATAACTAGATTTTTTAGTCTTATTAACACTTCCAGGGGACTCCCAAATCTTGCTATTAGTCTGACTTAAATAAGTATAATTCAGAGTTTTTAGGAGAAAGTAAGACTTTCAAAACTCTTAATTTTACTTATTAAAACTTTTTCAGAGAAAAATTTCACAAGGGTCATAAAACCCATAAAAGTCTAGGAGCGTTAAATCGCAGAAGTTTGATGGCCAGCTAACAAAAATTTTCACAACAGAAACAAATTTCCTTTCTCATTATGAAAAAAAAAATTCTTATTATTCATCCTCGGTGTTTTTAAACGATTTTACATTTATAGACTTTGGTTAACAAATCCATGCCTAGCGTGTCTGCGGTACCAGGTAGTACCAACACATCGGTAGAATACAAAGACGTGCCAATTAGCTACCGAAATAACGAACCAAGCTATATAGAGAAAGTCCTGATAAGTACTAATGAAGAGGACACAACACTGATAAAAATACTTTTGCGACAAACGCGTCGACCGGAAATCGGGGACAAATTCAGCTCACGGCACGGGCAAAAAGGCGTGGTTGGCTTGGTAGTTGAACAGGAAGACATGCCTTTTAACGAACAAGGAATCTGCCCTGATATCATAATGAACCCCCACGGTTACCCCTCCAGAATGACAGTGGGTAAACTGATTGAACTGCTATCGGGCAAAGCCGGAACCTTCGAGGGTAAATTTCATTATGGTACCGCGTTTGGCGGGTCCAAAGTATCAGATGTTTCCGCGGAGTTGGTAAAGCATGGTTATAACTATCAGGGGAAGGATATTTTTTATTCCGGGATAACTGGAGAGCCTCTGGAAGCTTATATTTACTCTGGGCCTGTGTATTATCAGAAATTGAAGCATATGGTTCAGGATAAAATACACGCCAGGTGAGATCGCACTTATAGAAGTTTTTGGGTATTTATTTAACTTGTATACATTTATTACAGAGGAAGAGGTCCAAGAGCTGTTTTAACTAGGCAACCTACAGAAGGAAGAAGCAGAGATGGAGGTCTACGTCTTGGTGAAATGGAAAGAGATTGCCTAATAGGTTATGGAGCTAGGTATACCACAATATCACAATAAAATAACCAAAAAATAACCATTATTTCTTCTAGTATGATGTTGGTGGAAAGACTAATGGTTTCCAGCGACCAATGTGAAGTGGATGTTTGTAATAAATGCGGTCGACTAGGTTACTGCGGTTGGTGTAATTCATGCAAAAGTTCTGGACATGTCTCAAGTATTACAATGCCTTATGCTTGTAAACTATTACTCACAGAATTACAGGCTATGAATATTACAGCAAGGCTAACATTAAGCCACTATTGTGAATGAGTTTAAGTTTTTTATATTGAATAAATACAGTTATTTTAGCTTATTGTTTTGTTTACCCAATATTTTCTTCTTCCATAACTTGACATAGAAAAATCTTCTAGAAGGACCAAGTCCGGCGATCTAGCGACCATACTGCTGTTTTATATTATTTTTTATAAAAAGTAGTACCATGATTATGGATTAAAACTATATTAAAGCCATGATACCATCATAGATTAGCGAGTGGGATATCTTATACTAGAAGTTGACTTTAGTGTTTCGCTGGTTGCCTATCAAGTTTGTTTATTAATTTAATCAACCTTGAAATGAAATTCATTTTATTATCATATCGTTCAGTAATGTAAAAAGTTAAGAACCGATAAAAACAGTTCACACTAAAATGGCTTTAAAAACTTTAAAATTAACATCTCTTCTAAAAAATTTCGGCAAAATTAATGCGATAAAATGTAGGGAATCATCTCAATATTACCCTATTGATGAGCATATTTTTGGCTTAACCAGTGAACAAATACAAGTAAGTAAAAGTTGATTAATAATTAATTAATTGAATAAAAAAATTAAAACATTTTTTTAGTTGAGGGAGTCGATTTTCCAATTCGCTCAGAATGAATTGGCACCTAAAGCAACTGAAATAGACAAAAAAAATGAATTTTCAAATCTAAGGGATTTTTGGAAAAAATTAGGCGATCTAGGAACATTAGGTAAGCACTATTACATTATCTATTACTATTTACACACACTTTAATTCATACAATCATTTAAATCTTCCTTAACAAACATAACAACCAAGATGAAATTGACTGAGGTCAAGGATACTTGGGTTCAGTCTAAAAATAACTTTTATTATTAGGAATAACTGTAAACCCTGAGTATGGGGGCACAGGGGGTAGCTATTTGGACCATGTCATCATAATGGAGGAATTATCTAGGGCTTGCTCTGCTATAGCTTTGAGTTATGGGGCCCACTCAAACTTGTGTGTGAACCAAATACACAGAAATGGTAGTCATGAGCAGAAGGAGAAATATTTGCCAAAAGTATGATTTGTATTTTGTAGTTTAGTTGTATTTATAGTATTTATAAATTGTAGTTGTGTAGTGGTGAATATATAGGGGCCCTAGCAATGTCAGAACCTGGGGCTGGAAGTGATGTAGTTTCTATGAAATTAAAAGCTGAGAAAAAAGGAGATCACTATGTTTTAAATGGTAATAAATTTTGGATTACCAATGGGCCAGATGCTGATGTTTTGGTGGTAAGATTTTGAGGTGGTAGCATCTTCAAATATTAATTTTAATGTTTAGGTTTATGCCAAAACTAACTTAGATGCTAAAAAACAACACGGCATTTCAGCTTTTATTGTAGAAAAAGGTTTTCAAGGATTCTCAACTGGTCCAAAATTGGATAAACTGGGAATGAGAGGGTCAAACACAGCTGAACTAATCTTTGATAATTGCAAAGTTCCTAGAGGGAACCTATTGGGAAATGAAAATAAGGGTAAAATTTATTTAAAAAAATATGAAATTTAGGATTATTCTCATTTTTTAGGTGTTTATGTACTAATGAGTGGCCTAGACCTGGAAAGACTGGTCTTAGCTGCTGGCCCAGTTGGTATAATGCAAGCTTGTTGTGATGTTACTTTTAATTATGCTCATATACGTAAACAATTTGATACAAGAATAGGAGAATTTCAACTTATACAGGTAGGTAAACTTTAATTTTTGAAAAAAAATTATATAATATATTTTTGTAGGGTAAATTAGCCGATATGTACACCACCCTTAACGCTTGCAGGAGTTATTTGTACAGTGTTGCCAGAGCGTGTGATAGTAACAAAGTGAACGCGAAAGATTGCGCCGGTGTCATTTTATATTGCGGAGAAAAGGCCACTCAAATGGCTTTGGATGCTGTACAAATTTTAGGTAAATAAATATATTTTTAAGTATTTTCTTATCTTGCAATTTAATCCAGAAAGTATTTTGTAGCAAATAATGCAATGACTGATAACAATTATTGTTATTTTGAAACGAATGAGATCATTTTTGTTGTCATCATTACGTTAATAAAAATAAAAAACATTATAAGACAATTAAGGTTAAAATATAATTTTGTTACTAGGTGGTAATGGTTATATTAATGATTACCCCACCGGAAGATTATTAAGAGATGCCAAATTATACGAAATTGGAGCTGGAACCTCAGAAATTAGAAGAATGATTATTGGAAAAGCTATTAATTCTGAATACTCATAGAAGATATTTTTACATTTTTTTATTTTTAATAAAATTGTTTGTTTTAAAAAGTGTTTTTAATTTTTACATCTATCATTTTTACACCTGTCATTTCTCATTTAAGACATGTCTCGTTTTTTGGTGGTTCTGTCATTTGTCATTTTTGACATTTGTCACCCATTATTTTTGACATTTTTTTCTGTCATTATAGACACCTGTCATCAGTAACTTACATAAAAATTTCATTTTACAAAACAATGGCGAAATTAATAATAAAAAAATTAAGACAATTTTACGGTCAATTTTTATTATGTTAAAAAATTTGGTTATTTGTTCTGCTGATTTTTGGCGGTATTTGACATTTTTGAAATTTGTTATCTTTTTTTACATCTGTCATTTTTGACATTGTTACCTAGAATTTTTGACATTTATTTTTTGTCAGGTTGGACTCCTATCATGTAATTTTAGAGAAACATTTCATTTTACAAAAAAATCTTGTAAAGAATATTTTTGTCAATTGTTTTTTCTTAAATTTCGTTTAAAAATAAGGTTTGTTTCTGCTAATTTTTGGCAATTACTTACATATCTATTATTTTTGACATTTGTCACCTATTATTTTTGACATCTGTTTTCTGTCATGTTGGACACAAGGAGTCCGAACTGAATAGGGGAAATTGACAAAATCTGCCCTCTAAATCTTACAAATTAAGTCTTTTTTTACCACCAGCGGCGCTGATTGTCGATGCGGACTTGTGTAGGCTCCCTGATTTTGACAAAAAAAAATAAAATTGTTTTTTTCAAATTTCGTTCAATAATTTTTCCTGCCGTTTTACAGGTCATCTGTCATTTTTGACCTTTGTCACGTATCATTTTTGACATTGGACAACTGTCATCTGTAATTTTATATGTAAATTTCATTTTACAAAATCTATGCCGATAAAAAATTTAATTTTGGCAACAAAATGATAGGGTCCATTAATTGTTTATTTTAAATGTCGATAAGGTTATTTTTCTGCTGATTTTCACGGTGACCTTTCATTTTAATTTTTTTTTGTCATGTTGGACACCTGCCATCTGTAATTTTATTTTACAAAACAATGGCAAGCCAATTTTTTTTTGGTGGTTATATGAGGATTTTAATGTGTAAAGGTTAAAAGTGCCCAAATTCAAAGTAAAAAAATTGTGGGAAAATTCGCACAGTGGCATATAAGCATTAAAAAAAGGTAGGACAAATTCGCACAGTAGAATAAAATTAAATAATGGTACGATAAATTTCACAAATTAAAAAATTATACTTAAAAAAATTTAGATAATCATTGGTGACCATGAATAAAAATAACTTAACTATAAAAAACTGATTCTTTAAATAAATATTCGTTTATTTTAAGTACAATATAAATAAAATTACACTTTTAACATTCCATGTTTTTTTTATATTTAGCTGACAATAAGTAGGTTAACGTTCAGCAAAGATTAGGAACACTTAAATTATAATATTCTTAACCTAAATAGACAGGTATTTTTTAAATCTTAACTGCTAAATATAATTTTTTGACTAGAATACACTCGATTGAATAAATTTTCAAAAATAAAAACAACGAAATCCATTTTGTTTGCCCGTGTAGCAAACAAAAGGATGTCACAACAACAAACAATAAATAAAATAAGCAATATGTTAAGTTTATGAAAAAAATATATCTATTATTTTGTCATACCTACCAAATTTACCAACGCTTCGAAGGTGTTAAGAATTGTTTTACTACGTGTTTGCATACATGATCGACCGCTTTTGATACATTTGATATTTGTGAAACAATAAATTCGAACATTTTTAAAATATCCGTCGAATACATAAATCGTTCTTAATACTTAAACCTTGGATCTTACAGCATTTCAAGTTGGAAATATTATAAGGTCCAGCGTTATACGCAGTGTTTTTCAGTGAATTTTTGCAGTGTTTAATAGTGGGATTCGGGAAGTACGCTCCACATCAAGCGTTTAAAAGAGCCGCTTTGCTGGATTGTCTCAGGGTCCTCCCTTAGGGCGCTTCTGTAGTCAGGGGTCTGATTTACATACAAGTTTTTCTAAAAATTAAAATTATTTTTCTATACGTAATATAACAAAAAATATAAAGCGTACATTATAGAAATAAAATGCCAAATATACATTTTTTAAATTATTCGATATTTTTGTTTTTTGTATAAAAAAATTCTATAATGTTATTTTAGCATTCTATTTCTTGCAGTGAAAATAAGCATGCGTACTTGTTGAAAGGTTTAGCAGATGCGGCAGTAAGCAGTAAGTTCGTGGATTGTTTACAATACCTTGGGTGGGACACTCTTGTTTGGTACATAGACTTTACTTTGCGAAGCGACGCCTTCTTCTACATGGTCGCCGTAGCCTTCCTCTTGCAATGCTTTGTAGGTTTCGCTTTCGGCCGGGTTGAATTTTACGTGTTTACGAACTCTGCAAACAATAAATTTTTTAATTTGCTATCCAGGCGCATTCGCCATTTTTTTTAAACATTTGAAATGGCGAATGCGCAATATTGTTAAATTATAAAAATATTAAATTGGAAAATGATGCATACCAAATTTTTAGTTAATATAAAAATAGATTATATACAGTGCGGTTATAAAAACTCCCCCACATATTTTATTTTTAGAACCGGTAGGTTGGGAAGCGGAAATTTTAGTAAGTTAAACTCTACATTAAATACTACTTTTTGACAAATTCTCAAAATGGCGTCGTACTGTCAAGGTCCTTTTTATACCCCATACTTGGAAGTAAAAACAATAAATAAAGATTTTACAGGGGTGAGTCGCAAACAAATGGGTCACACTGTAGATAGATTATATTAATACTAGTTCAAAAGTCAAAAATAAAGCTAAAATGTCATTATTTCAGTTGAACCTAACCTAAAAATGATTTGACAGAATCTTTAAAAAATATTTAATTAAATTTTTAAAAATTCTTAAAAAATAGTGGCACAGAATCCGCCTGGTCTCTAATGTATTAATTTTACAAATTATAATATTTCAGTATACAGTTTGTTTCTGGATCGGATTTGTAATCTACAAACAAAAATTATGTATAGCTGTGTTATTTAAAAATTTAAAAATTAACCTAGCCGAAAATCTTAAAATGTTGAAAAAAAAAGTTAAAGAAAATCTTTAAATATTTTGTACAAATTTGGGAATTTGGTAAAAGCTTAAAATAATTACATTAAAAGAGTATTCTAAAGAAATATTGAAAATATATTTAAAAACCTTTAAAATTTATAAATTTATGTTAAAAAAAGTACAAAAATGTTGGAAAGTAAAATAAATTTAGAAATAAATATTTATTATTTAAATTGTTCAAAAACAAATAATAATAAATTTACAAAAACTTCAACAAAAAAAACGTTAATGGTTTAAAAAAAATGGAAAAGTAATCTTAATTGATAAAATCATAAAAAATTGTTTTAGTCAAATCTTAAATGAAATAATCCAAAATTTTAAAAAATTTATTGAAAAATCTCTAAAAACTATAAATTTATATTAAGAATAAAAATTGTATCAACAAATTTAAGAAAAGAGAAAAATGCTGATTTAAAAAAAAATCTTAAAAATAATAATTAGTAAAATTTTAAAATATGTGTAAAAAAAACCTTTAAATTTTTTTTTTTGTAAAAAAGGTACTTACGGAGTTAGGCCAGTTTGTTTGTGAACAGAATCGACAATGTTGTTCTCACTGTACATCCCAATTGGTGAGTTGTACAAATTATGTATAACCTAAAAACATAATAAATATCAAAATATATACTTTTTAGTATTACCTACTTGTAAAAAAATAGATGCTAAAAAAATCTCAAGAAATTAAAACAAAATCATGCAAATTGTATAGAGTAAATATGTATAAAATCCATGCGCGTCAAAATTAACGCATAATAAGTAAAAAAAAATTAACTCTAAAACGCCTTTATGAAATTTTGTATAAAAATACTTCAACTTATATCTCAGTTTAAGTGTTTAAGGGTTTTTTGAGAAAATATTTTTAAAGCCCTTTTATTTAATAATAAAAAAACGTAACTTTTAGGGATTTTTTTTAAGTAAATAAAAAATATGCTGTTAAAGACCGTATTTTTGTTAGTATACCCTGACAATTTTGAACAAATCAAACGAACAGTAACGAAGTGTGCTTCAAAGTCGGTAAAAATTACCGCTTTTTGATTATTTTGCTGAAAAGTGGTCATTTTTGACGACTTTAAAGCGCTGTATTTTCGTTACTGTTCGTTTGATTTGTACAACATTTTCAGGGTATACTTACAAAAATACGGTCTTTAACAGCATATTTTTTATTTACTTAAAAAAAATTCCCTAAAGTTTTTTTTTTAGAGTTTTTTATTATTTAAGGCTATTTTCTCGAAAAACCCTTGAAAACGTAAACTGAGATATAAGTTAAAGTATTTTTATCCAAAATTTTATAAGGATTGGTAAAGGCGTTTTAGAGTTTTTTGACGCGCAGTGTATTTCACTCACTTTCACTTTTTTATATAATCTATTGAGGTAGTTCTCAATTATTATAATTTTACCTATAAAAAATACTTTTTACTACAAATTAAAGATCGAAATTGAGTGAAACATGATTTTAGTGTAAAAATAGGTATTTTATGTAATAATAGTGTAAAATGTACAAATACCATGCTTTAGTAAAAATTAAAGCAAAAAGAAAACCTGGTTATCCAGGACAAAAACCTTGACAAAAACCAAAAAATAAAAAAATATTAACCTGTTTGTTTGGGTCACCTGTTGATATTCTTTCTAAGACCGAATTGGCAACCTGTCGTAAAAAGCATTCGAATGTGAAAAATTTTGAAATTTTTATGTACAAAAATAACAGTTTAAATAACACGAGGTCAAGAGGAAAGCTTAGCCTATAGACAAAATACAGAGTTTGTAAAATGTTTAAATTTAATTTTATGTACGGTTATTTGCCAATATTTTTTTAATAAAATGCTTAAATATTATGAAAATAAAATGGGTCATATTTTTAGAATACCATTGTAAAAAATATTTACAAAAATATGTTTATAATAGTAGATTTTACTACTTTTCCAATTATTATAGTTTATTTTAAATGTTTTAAAAATGTCCATTTTACGTTTGGCTAAAAATCTTTGTGCATAAATTACACTGTTTTTAAATACCAAACTACATTTAAATACCAAACTACATTTTTCCAAAGGTTTTTGATAAATTTCTCAAAAACCTCCCTACCTGATTCTATAAGATCCTCTCTAGTTATTAATTTTAGGCAGTTTTTACCTTTTGCTTGTAAAGATGATCATTGTCAATGATATGGTGGGGATGGGCCCTGAAAGACGGATTTGGGTGATGACGTAGGTAACTTTCAGTTGGTCCAGGTTCACGTTTTACTTTGGCACCGGGGAGCACCAACGGGGTGGTACGATACGGCTACAACGAAAGGAGAAACGACACATGTCACAAAACAACAAAAAACAAAGGTACATTTTTTCGTCAAAACAAATGTGAAGTGTTTTAGTTAATCGAGTGATTTCAGTCTATCGCAAAAGTCGTAATAAAAATTACTGACAAAACAAAAAGTTGCACTATAATTACGATGTTATGTTTATGGTATTTATCATTATTTACCCTAATGATATACATGTTAAAAATGTATTTTATTTTTGTGTAGGTCAAGATTAAGGTTAAAAATAGTAATTTTTTGACGGTAGTGGATAAAAATGATACTTAAATTAATTCGTAATATTTGTGTTATTTTGGTCATTCTAATTTTGTTTCAGAATTGACGCACGTTTATTTTTGATTGATACAGTTTCATGATCGCTTACAAATTTTGTAATTTAAAAGTTAATGTATTTTTCTACTCCCACCTTTAAAACGCCCTTTATCGTACATGTTTCCATGACCTTTCAAATACACATTGACAAGTTTAGTGGTTTTATGGGGCTTTAGTCACGGGCTGAAGTTAGCAACACGTTTTTAGTCACGGGATGAAGTTAGTTTTAAGTTAGTTGACAGTTGTCAAATGTCATACAATCGTTAAAATAAAGTGCCTTTCTTGTAAAATAATACTGAAAATGTGAAAATTATTTTATTATCTCAATACAAAAATACAAAAGTATTAAATAGTTTCTCAACGCCAATATTTGAAAAGTTTATATGAACATTATGCCCTTTTAATTTCGCCGGCAGTAAACTATAACTTAAATTCGGGCACGGACTCCACTGTAAAGTCCTCATAAAACATTTTCTTTACTTTCACTGTGAAAAACTGTCAATTTTCAAGAAATACATTTCGATTTATAACCTTTATAATCTGTGTTTATAAAATATAAAAATGTGACATTTGACGGTGACACACAGATTCCATTATTGTTTCATAGATGGCGCTCTATACAAATTTTTGATTTAAATAATTTTAAGGTAATAATAAGTATTTGTCGTAGAAAAACTATAGTATGCACCTTGTTTATAAACTTACTATACACTCATTAATTTAAGCACTCGCTCGTGCCTAAATTAAATTCGAGTATAAAATGGCGTTTATCAAACTTGATACATAATATACATTTTTTAATATAACTTACTGTTATTGTTTAATTAGTTTATAAACAATAGGAATTGTTTTTACTATATTATAACGTAAGAAACTGTTCTAAAAACTCTATAAAAGTATGTAGTTAATAACATGTTTTAAGAGGAAACTTAATTTTGATTAATGTCTTATTATTTATGTATACTTTGATAAACTACTTCACTAACCTAAATCTAAAATAACTCGTTATTTGCAAATTGCAGAATACTTTTAATAAAAATTGAGATTTATCACTAAACACTTGTAAAATTATTCAGAGCCTAAAATTAAGCACATCGCAGTTATATTTATATGCGTAACTAACATTTATATATCATAAACTTTTATTGTGTTAAATTTGCTAATTTTAATGGGTTTGAAATTATTTTTTGCAAAAATGGTGAATGCGCCGGGATGTTGACTTTTATTTTTAATTGTTTCATTATTTCATTCAGAAATCACAGAATTTTTAATGTTATGTAAAATGTGCTTGTGAATTATATTTACAGTTACCAGGTACCTTAGCAGCCAACGTTTATTTATGGATGTGTTTATTATGAAATTTTGAGAAAATATATACAACATTGTTATAAAACCTTTACAATGTAATGTAAAGCAAATAAAATGAGTCTGTCATTACTAATTTACCTATAAATACACTTTATTTATTTATATCCCAATTTAACCTTCTCAATAACAAAAAAAGGCAATTAACATATCTTACCCATAACGTTGCGGCTTCGCATTTTTTTATGTGATCGACAGAATAACTTCTGGATAAAATCATGGTTTTAAAAAGCACTTCACAGTTAATTTTGCGCACTCCGGCCGCTTGAAAATCAGCGCGTTAAATGAAAATTTCCCACTCTGAAAATTTTGGATTATACCTCAGAAAATGAAGTAAACAAAATGAGTGGCTAATGACTTACCAAAGGTTTAAAGGAAGCAAGCTGACTTATTTAAAAATGCGTACAGGGTGAAATAAAAAGTCCTACATAAGTTATAAAAGTGATGTTTTGGTTTTAATTAATTACCCATACAATGTTAAAAGATTGTGTCGATCATCATTCATTTTGCGTTTTTGGAAATTTTCCAATTTTAGTGTCAGTCAACAAGGTCCAGTATAAATAAAATTGTCTATTAGCTTGAACATTTTTAATCAAAAACAAAATATCTTGTAAATGAATTTATACCTTTTCTACAAGAAATTTTACGAAATATTTGTAAATTGATATTTGTACTATTTTCAACACATTTAGTATTAGTATTTTACCATTAGTTATTTATTTACGTAACACCATATGACGTGGTTTTTGTAAAAGCCAAAAAAAATATGAATGCCAATATAAATTAACCAAAAATAAAATTGCAAATCCAATAATAGCAAGTTACATTATAACAAACATTGTTTAAAACAATGTTTTCATTTAAATATTCTACAGGGTGTACCAAGTATACTTCTATTTATGGGTTTTTTATTTGAAGAGTTACAAGTCTATTAAAATAGTATTTAAAAATGACTATTTCCCTAGTCTTAATTTCCACCAATCACAAACGCGCAATTTTGAATTACAAATGGTTTCTAGGTGAAAAAACTGTGTGACAGCACCTGTCAGCAGTTTATTCGAGTTTACCCGCGGCAAAACTTGACAGCTGTTGTCAGCAAAAATTGCAATTTATATTTTAATTGTTAACTGTTACTCATGAAATAGTCTTGTCAAATACCATTCGGGCATCTAATTTTTTCTGTGAAAAAAATCGAAAAAACACAATGCTAAGTAATATTTTTTAACAAAATGCATTCGTGCAGGTGCAAAAATCCTCCTCTTCGACTCGGATTTTTGTTGCCACCAGCACTCATGCTTTTTGTTAAAATATTACTTAGCAACGTGTTTTTTCGATTCTTTTCGGAAAAAATAAATGATATTACTTACGACTATTTCCCTCGTCTTAATATCCACCAATCACAAACGCGCAATTTTGACTTACAAATGGTTTCTAGGTGAAAAAACTGTGTGACAGCACCTGTCAGCAGTTTATTCGAGTTTACCCGCGGCAAAACTTGACAGCTGTTGTCACCAAAAATTGCAATTTATATTTTAATTGTTAACTGTTACTCATGAAATAGTCTTGTCAAATACCATTCGGGCATCTAATTTTTCCTGTGAAAAAAATCGAAAAAACACAATGCTAAGTAATATTTTTTAACAAAATGCATTCGTGCAGGTGCAAAAATCCTCCTCTTCGACTCGGATTTTTGTTGCCACCAGCACTCATTCTTTTTGTTAAAATATTACTTAGCAACGTGTTTTTTCGATTCTTTTCGGAAAAATTAAATGCCCTTATGATATTACTTACGAAAAAATCTGAAAACTTTTGTTATTCCTGTCAATTAAAAAAAAACGGTTTTTGGTTTTGAAAGTGTTTTGTTTTCCCAAGTATTTTATTATTACGCAACTTTTTAAATGAAAAATACCCATTTATTTTATAGAAGGATACTTGGTGCAACCTGTATGGTATTCATTTTAGCAAATCACCACTACACGCGAAGAGCACATGGCTTCCGAAAATTTTGCGCCGATTGGTATAGTAAAACATATGTTTTAAATCTGCTAATTAAATTCAATTTTAAATAAAATATTGTCATATTTTATTTTTTACCCGGGTAAAAGTAAGTTTGAATTGGTGCCAAACATAATATCATAAACCAAACACTTGTTATTTTTTGAATTTTTGTTATTAATAAATTGGCCCAATCTAATTTTAACATAAAATAAAAATATCTTGTTTGGTTTAACGAACTCAAAATTTTTTTTTTATCTATAAATCGTATTAAAAAAATTACCTGTTTAGTTACGTGAGGTTCTTGTTGACCATCCCCCTCGTTCCTCCTAGCCCCCCCATATTCACTAACGTCGAAATGGTAACTATCCAGGGCCGTCATAGGAGAGGAGTAGTAGGGGGAGAGGGCCGGTGCCCCAGGGCTGTAACCGGGGCTCATGCCTGCTGGCCCTCTGGGAGACAAGTGCGGGGACACCGATAGGGGGCTGTAGGGGGCCGATCCGGTCCTGGATGAGCCGGTGCTGTGGGGTTGGCGGGGGGCGACTTCCCTGAGAAATGATTCGTTGGGTTAAATATAAATTTGTATGAAATATTTATTGATTTAAAATGTTAGTAGTGCGGGCTATTTTAAGAATAAAATCGAACACAAGGCGTGGTATTGAGAAACCAACTCGGAAACATATAAATATAAGTATAAATATATAAACTGGGAGAAATTTATTAATACATTTTTTTAGATAAATTATTGTTAACAATAAACTTCCTGATGCCAGGCTAGCAGCTGCATAAAAAGATTTTGTGAAAAAAAAACATATTACATAGATTACAAATTTAATTATTTCAACAACGAATTTTTAAAGTTTATTTTAAATTATGAAATGCAGTTTTATTTTAATTTTTTTTATTCAAATTCGATGTTGTTTAAATAATTTGAAATCAATTTGTTTAAATTATATCGAAATTTTTTCTCTCAGTGTATGTATTTTTTACAAAACTAAAAATAGGAAATAAAATATGCAATTTGAAAGGGAAAACGTTTATTTTTATTTAAAAATAGGTTTCTAATAATTATTTGCAAAATTTCCAGTCAAAGAATTTTTCTGCAAAATTTTTTGTAAATTTATTATGGGTAATTATAGTAGTATTATAATAGTAGGAAAATTACTCGTAATAAACTTGCGAAAAAATAGAATAAGTAATTCTGCGAAGTTTTTAGAGGCCACAACAAATGTCTTTTTTTTTTAATTTGCCGCCGTAGGCTATAGCCTAGTTAGCCTATTATATAAATCTGGGCCTATACATTATATATATGTTTAATTTTTTTTTAACCGGTAGTGTATTATTTAAGGCGGGGAAAGAATTTTTGAGTTCGCGACATTTTGTCATTGACGTTTAAGATTATAGATTATGTGCATAAATTTATTAAACTGTTACCTGTAATTTTACAGTTACCTACACTGATTTAAACTAATGCGATAGATGGAGCCTCTCTTTAAATTAAATTTCATTATGTTACGGTGGTGCATAATAATTCGTCGCGTTTTTCTATATATGCTAATGAGTGTAATAGTATAAACATTGTTATACGCTTAGAAAAACATCAAATTTTCGAATAGAGTAAGTTTTTATTAATATAAAACTTTTTGTTAAAAAAAAGTTATTGCTTTTATACTAACCTTTGAACTACCACTTTAATGTTGTTGCCAGCATTTCTAAACAAATTTTGGGCATCTTGGTGACGAATGTCCCTTGAATCATAGCTGCCAACTTTGGTGATGATATCGCCCCTATGCAGTGTACCCTCTACGGGTGATCCAAAACCCACCTAAAAATATGTCATTTAGGTAATTATGACTTTATGACAAATAAATTTAAAATTCCTATTTATTGAATTCTACTATTACTTAAGTAGCTGTTAATTTGTTGTTTGAACGATTGAACAGCTGATAACGAAAAAATGTTGGCAGATCATTCGTTGCATTGTTGGAGAAAAATGTAATGAGCATAGACTTAGGTCATTAAGTTATTTGGGCGTATTATATTAACTGGGTATAAATAAATTTGGATTGAGTAATAACAAATTATTCCAGACTAATTACTATAATTAAATAAAGTAATTTATATTGTTGTATTATGTTTACCCATAAGTATATTGCCAAATAAAAATGTAGGTACGGTAATATAATTTATTTCCACCTTCTTAGTAAATGACACTTTATAGGTTAATTTTGTTGTTTTTGTATCCAAGTAAACGATACATTATGAGAACAGACCTGTAATATTTTACGGGCTTGTATTATAAAAGACCTGTAAAGTTTTACAGGCTTGTAGAAAAAGCAATTTATGAAATGAAATGACACATTTGAGACAATAATTGAAATATTTAAATTTAAAAATCGTTATCTAAAGGTGAAAATAAAAGTTTGTACGTGTCACGCTTTGCAATTAATCTTTACTAGTCTCACTGGATTATGGGTTCGCTCCTGCGTCGCTTACCCACAAACTTCCAGCTCGCCCGTAAAGATTCATTTACAAAGCTTGACACGTAAATAACTATTATTTAATATATTTTACTAAACAATTAAAAAATCCAGGGATATATGAGCTTTTACTCATTTTAAGTTTGGTCATTTAAGCTTTTGTTTAGATAAGCCTAAAAAAATATAAAAATAAAATGTTTTAAGGACTAAAAAAGATATTAATTATAATAAATAAGTATTTAAAAAATAAATATTAAGATGGAAGTAATAAATAAATAAATAAATAACAAATGTCCAAAAAAAAAACAATTTATGAAAAATAAAAAAATAAAATAAAAAAATGATGAATTTTGGAAAATAAGAAAATATCTTCAGAAAAAGTATACATAATATTTAACGCGTGCTGCACATGTTCATTTTTTTTATCCCTTTACTACGAGATTTGAAAAAAACAAAAAATATCTACAAAAAGTATAGAAAAAAACAATTAAAAGACGTACAAAATCCATACCAAAACTAATTACTTTAAGAATGTAGCTTAGGAAAATCATAGTTGTCCAAAGTTAACAAAAATACTCAAAAAAATTGTTGTCAAACTTGTCAGTACCAAAAAATCATAAAAAATCAATCAATTTAAGACTACAATTGATTTAATCTAGAAATTAAAAAAAAATATAAAAAACTTTGCAAATGGTAATTTACAAAAATATTACAATACAATATGAAGAATTTATAAGAACATACAAAATACCAAAAATCAAATAAATTATATAGGCACTCCAGGAATTTATAAAAATGGCGACTTGAAAAATTGAAAAAAGTTAAGAAATTTTTTTAAAATTAAAGAAAAACTAGGAAATTCATACTTAAATCATAAAAAATAATAGGCATACATAATACACTTACCAGCAAAAAAAGGCCACCAGAAATTTGTCACAATTTTAATGTTGATATACTCGCAAACTGCTTATCTGAATTAACTAGATGTTTTTTTTAATGAAGGTTGACTCTTTAATTAAGATGCTAAGGACATTTTTTAATTTAATTTCTATTAACATACAGGGTGCAAAAATGGGAATTTTTTTTTCTGAAATTTGTGACACCCTTTAAGGTATATGGCATGCCGTTTTAACATTTATTAAACAATTTATTTAAAATTTTATTGGTTTAAAACTAAAAATGTTAAGTTTACATGTAAATGCATTCATAAATTTAAAATTTATTCATCTATTATGTATTGAAAGGCAAAATTTACTAACTTACAGTAACTGTTCACTTATGTATTAAACAATATTATTTCCAATCAATTTTTGCAAAAATTTCAATCATTTTTTACTAAAAATAATTTCTTAGTATAATTTATTTGGGCACAATTTTTTAATCTTAAATATTATTTTATAAAATTATTTAGATTAAATTGGTTTAATTTAATTTTTTTAGTATTTAAAAATAGTGGCGAGACATTTAAAATAAAAACACATATAAAACATTTTTTACTAAAAATCTAAAATCTAAAATTTTTTTTAACTCAAAACAATTCAGAATCAATAAATATTTTAAATATAAAATGCAAATTTAAAAGTTTAAGTTTAAAATATTGGGTTTGAAAAATTGTAGATTAATATTTTATTCTACAAAATTATTGGTTAAAATTCGCAGAGTCATGACAGAAATTTACAAAGTTAAATTTTTTTAAACCCAAAGCAATTATTATCATTTAGGTTAATGCATTTACCTAAATGATAATAATTGCTTTGGGTTAAAAAAAATTTAACTTTGTAAATTTCTGTTAAAACATAAAGTGCTAAACTTTCGTCTTCAAACGATTATCTAATAAATGCTAAAAGGGCGCATCAACAATAACAGCCGATGTCAATTTAAATCATTATGTAATCCTATCTTTTCTAAATAATCTGTTATTAACGAAGATACATTGTTTTAAAGCCAACGCCTCCGATAAACACTTTATCTATAGGTATAGGTATACCTATATACAAAAAGTTTATATACAAAGTTTATATACAAAAGTGCTCTTTTAGTTCCACCCTTACTTCTTAAGAAGTCCCAGAAGCCAACTGAATGGCTTGTGCGGGTTAGGGGTAGGAACGGACCGTGGGCTTAAAGTCCCCTCCGAAGGACTAATACACAATAGGACAAACACAAATAAACAGCCATACCCCTGGTGGGATTCGAACCCATGACCTCCGGCTTGTAGTCAGCATGCACTAGACCACTAGACCACCGTCGTAGGTATACCTATAGGTATTAGACAGACACATAACTTTACTTTGGCCATATTTACCTAATTACCTAATGTCATATATTCATCACGGATAACGCTGCAACCCTGTATATGCTCAAAATAAAATAAATGTATATAGCATAGTAAATACACAACCTTCAATTAAAAAAAAACCGCCCGTTCGCGAGGAAATCAACATTAAAATTGTGGCCAATTTCTGGTGGCCGCTTTTTTTTGCGGGTCAGTGTATATTATAACCTTAACATCTTTGATTTAAAAAAAATAAAAACCAGTAAAAAACAGTTATTTTTACTAATAGTACCAAATAAAATAAAAACCAGTAAAAAACAGTTATTTTTACTATTAGTACCAAATAATTTTTGTCACTTACTCTGGTGACGATGAGGGGTGTCTTGACATCGGACCCACCCACCAAACTAAACCCCCACTGCTCCGTCGGTGAACTCCTGCTCAAAGTCAACGCGATTTCGTGTAGCCGGCCCATGGGTACCAACCCACACCAACCAACCACTACTAAACGACAAAACTTCGCAAAAAATGCAACACGCACAATCCGATTGTTCTAGACTCGCTCTTTAGTAACTACTAGCAGGTTAAAAATAAACTTTGGCAGCGCCAAGTTTATCAGAAAGACATGAAAAAAGTATGGTAAAGGGTTTCGTTGAGGCAACAGGTATCGAAAAACTAAACACAGCAGGAATATCTCAGGAACTGCAGCAGTGACCCCTCCCGTTTCCTGCTGCAAATATAACCGGGCCAATTTTCTATTGCGATTCAAGTTTTGCGGGTCTCATTGTTTCATGGTCTCTGTTGTCGAAACAAGGTTCGACACTTTTTTGTTTGGGTTATTCAAAGCAATAACAAAATATAATTCTTAACCACCAAGATTTGTATCTTTATTTTTTTTAATATCTTACATTATTTTATTATTGTTATCACATAATTACAATTGTTAATTTAAATTTAATAACATACTGTTATCTTTTGTTATACCTATTTGTCCTTAAATTGGAATGTAATTCTGTTGGGCATAAATAAATTATTATTATTATATCTAAACAATCAATATTATTATTATTATTATTTATTTTACGAGAGTGAGTTTTGAATCAAGCAGCACGTGCGTCAAAGGACACAAACAGAACGTGGAATTCAGCCCTGGTAAATGTAGCGCAAGATCGTGCCAAAAAATCTAAAATTTATTTGGGTTACCTTAAACAAAACTATCGCTAGAAAGCTATACTGTTGCCTCATTGATCGTAAAAAATGTATAAAATAATTGCAATGTGGATTTTTAAAAATGATAAAAAATTACAGATACAAACAGAGCTGGGAAAGATACTTTCTAAAAGTATTTAAATACAAGATACTGAATACTTCCAAACTATTTTAAAAAAGATAAAAGATAAAATATTTTCAAAAAATCCTAAAAGTATATAAAATAAAAGATACTTTGAAGTATTAGGTGCATAATTCATTTCTGTTTAGCATATATGAAGACAGGATTGACAGTAACTGTTACGTAATAAAGAATAATACAATAAACTTAATACGTAAAATAAATATTTATTTGAGGAACTAAAACCATTTAATACAAATTTAAAGAATTGTAAACTAAATAACATTGGTAGTTTTTATGAGAAATTTTCAATTTTTTTTTCTAGGAAATTTATAGAAAAAAAAACCTAGCATACGTTTCATTATAGTAGTGTGTAACTAAATGAAACTTTGATGGTCTCTTTTGACAAAAGTAAATAAAGCTTATGAGTTGTAAGTAAAATAAAAAATACACTGTTTTTTTAAATTAAAAATTGTTACCCTATCCCAGTAGCTTCTTCAGAATAAATTCAATCTTAATAAAAAACTACTACCTAATTTTCGCCCTTTTACTTCATGATATGAAGTTCATATTATTGACGGCCAAGTGTAATGTTTTGACTAATAAAAAGCCGTTCGTAAAGAATATTAAGTTAGAAAAACGTATTTAAAATACTTAAAAAAAACAAGATACAAATACTTTCAGTATGTATCTAAAATATTAAGTACAAATACCAAAATTCAAAAGTATTTAAGATAATAGTATATTATGTATCAAGTTTTATAAACGCCATTTTAGTTACGAGTTTAATTAAGCACGAGCGAAGCTTGCGAGCGAGTGTTTAATAAAAACGAGTGTCTAGAGAAGTTTATAAATGAGTTGCATACACAAAACACAAAACAGAATTTAAAGCCAATTTTATTTCTTAAAATTTTGACATCTGTCAACTGTCACCCGAATTTAACCTCACTTTTTCCCAATTTATAATAAAGCTAACTTCAGCCCGTGGCGTAAAATGTCGAAAAGCCACTGTTGTTAACTTCAGCCCGTCAATAAAACGCCATAAAGTCACAGCTCGTCAATGTAGGAGTAGATAATAGTATATTATGTATCAAGTTTTATAAACGCCATTTTAGTTATGAGTTTTATTATGCACGAGCGAAGCTTGCGAGCGAGTGTTTAATAAAAACGAGTCTCTAGAGAAGTTTATAAAACGAGTTTCATACTATACTTTATCTACGACGAACAAAAATAAGAATTTAAAGCCAATTTTAACTCATAAATTTTTGACATTTGACGAATTTAACCTCACTCTTTCGTAATTTATAATAAAGCTAACTTCAGCCCGTGACTAAAATTCCCAAAAGCCACTGTTGTTAACTTCAGCCCGTGACTAAAACGCCATAAAGTCACAGCTTGTCAATGTAGGAGTAGATAAAGTATCTTAAGATACTTTAGGTATTTAAGATTATTATTGTATCTTTTATCTTAGATAATTCCCAGCTCTGGATACAAACTAAAAGAAATTAGGGCAAACAATAAAATTTTTTAAAATTATTATCCTAAAAATATTTTAAATTCATGTTTTTTAAATATGAAAATTTAAAAATTAAAAACAGCGAAAATAAATAATCAAAACTATACGAAATAATATAGTAATAAATTAACAAATATTCTTTTAAACCATAGACCAACCCGAATTAAGCAGAGTTCTTTTCCCCCCTCGCTGCGAACTTGTTTATTCATTTGCACCACGGCTATAATTATTTTTCAATCAATGTTATATTTGAGGAGGTGCATTCCAAAACTCGGCTTTCCATATTAGTTGTTTTTGAGCAAAATGTCAAAACCTTACACCTTACTTTAAACGAAATATTCACGATATAACCAATAGATATGGCAAGTTTTGGAAATTTTGTAAATGAATTTTAAATGGAATAAGTTGAGTTTTAGAATATTATGAACTTTTCAGGGTATAGGGGGGTACATGTTACATGTACAGACACCACTGACTCATTTTTATTAAAAAGTGGATAAGCCAAGTTTTGAAATGGACCTCCTCATTCTCAGAAAAACTGCTATGTACAAAAACTCAAAAAATAATAAACTTTGTCGGTCACTTATTTACGCCAAAGTTGTGTGGATTATAATAACAAGCTTTTTGAATACTTTCATATTTTGACCCTCTTATTTGAGAAATACCCTTTGTTTTAACGAATCACGTTACAATTTTTTTATTCACATTTACATATGGACAAAAGGGTGATTCAAAAACACCTTTTTTTGTTTTTTTTTCTCGGAACCACGCTCAAAAGTTTCGTATAGATATAAAAATGAGCCTGTGAAAAAATGAGCTCTTAGTTTCAAAATTAAAATGCTCTGCATCGCACTTTTCGATTTTCCATAAGAATAACATAGGAAAAATTTTTGTTTCTTTTTATTTTTGTAACTAACGAACAATAGGTCGTACTGTAAAGTTCTTGACATATTTTTGTAGACAATTGAACGCTCTACAAAAAAAGTTTCCTACGATTTTTTGATAAATTTTATCCTTCTAAAGAAATTTAAGGTCAAAGTTCAAATTATACACAATTTTTGTTTTTTTTTTAACTTTTTTGGCGAGTCTGCCTGACTCATTTAAAAAATTTTGAAATATTTTTGTAGAGAATTGAACGCTGTTTTTCCGAATTTTCAGAGCTCAAAAACAATATTTCGATTCGTTTTTAGCCTTTTGAACTAAAAAATCCAGAAAAAATTCTAGAAAACGACTAAATTGACGGTTAATTTCACTTTAACCTTGAATAACTTTTAACCAAGTTAACTTACCGAAAAATGACTCTTGACCTTTTTTGTAGAGCGTTCAATTCTCTACAAAAATATGTCAAGAACTTTACAGTACGACATATTGTTCGTTAGTTACAAAAATAAAAAGAAACAAAAATAATGTTTACTATGTTATTCGTTGAATTTTTAAAAATTTTCACAAAATGCACAACAGCACCAAGTCTTGGTAATTCGTTATCTGGCTAGTAGCCGTTAAGCTGTCATGCTGTAAAGTACTAACATTGTAAAAAAAATTCATATTTCGCGCGGGTAAAACTCGCGAATAGGACTCACGAGTAAGTCGTTGTAATTTAATTTTAAACTTATTTGTTTTATTTTTTAATTTCGTAAACTAATAAAAAAATTTAAATAAAATTACACCACATAATGCAGCGAAAAAATCTATTATGTGGATTTTTTAAAATTTAATATTTATCAATATTTAATTGCGCCCATTATGTTGCCAACTATCCGAACTCTGGTTATGCTTTTCGGTCCCTCAATTATTTTACAAAAAAAATATATAAATACATAAATTAACAAACTTGCTTGTAAAGTGAAATTCCATTATCAAGTTTTCGCGGGTTCCTAATTACGATTAATTTAAATTATTCTTTGTTTTCTTCTACATTTACAAAGTTCTGTGAAAATACCAAACCTCTTTTATATAGCGGGTGCAACAAGCTAACAATGACTTTTTGTTGTCAATATTGCTTAAAAAGAAACGGATTAGCTAGTAAATGTAAATGTTTCTAAGACGAAAAAATTTAAATTAAAATTAAAACATAAAATTTGGTTTTATACAGGGTGGAGATTTTGAGATGTGTGGATACAAATTGTTTAATCACCCTGTATATTTTGCTTAGTAACCTACTTTGAAAATAGCGTTCCATCGCAATAATAGATCACCGAAGAATTAGGAGCAACAAAATAAACTTCGGACGGATATAGCCTGCATTATAATTAAAATCGACTCACCATATCAAATATTCGTGTCACACACACACCTGTAACTCCTCCGGACACCTGTGAACCACGCAAAGTTACTCCGTTCACCCCGAGATTTAAAATCGATGTGATTTCGCTTTTTAATAAAATCCACCACGAGGCTATTTTGGTCCCGCGAAATAAACATCTTTTAATATTGAATGTCGAATTCATTCACTGGTATTTTTAACAACAGCCCACGCGTGATTTCAGGGAAACAAAACGCATTGTGCGTAGCGATTCGCAACCAGTAACTCATATTTCTATACCGTTACTTTAGATCGAAAATCTATTGCCAGAAAATAAAGAAAAACCACGAGGTTAATTCCAGAAAACATAAAAAGGAATTATAATGAGATTTTCGTTAAAACCTGATTTTTTAAATCTCCTTAGGTCGCCATCTTTAACTCAACCAACTGCCAGCAAGCATTTTTTTTATTCAGCCACTGCATTTCAATTCTCGTTTATCATATTGAGTGACAAGTTGCGCATGATCCAGCAAAAAAATTCTCAAGCCTTTTTTCAACTTACTTTTTTTTGTTTTTGAGGGCGCCATTGCCAGAACGACGGCCTCTGATAGGACATAATACCTAATGGGATTTTTTATAATGTATTCACTGAAAGCCTGGCAAAACACTAGGATAGTTATTTCGGAATAATTGCGAATATTTTTGTAAAGGAGGGGGCAGGGAACAAATCTGTTTTAAGATACGCGCAAACTGCTCCAACAACTATAAAAAACAATGGGTATAAATGACGTGGTACAACATTTTTTTGGCTTAAAAATTACATATTGCCTCATTAGAGAGTAAAATGTTTTGCAAAATAGTTGTGAAGAATCAAGCAACATTTTTATGGTACTTAGGTACGAGTCAATCCATATCAAAACAACCAACTTAATTTAAAACGGTTTCTGACAAAATTCATTTTTTTTTAACTTTTTATGTAATTTCTATCTTCTGGGATATTTAAACAAAATTCACGTTAAAGAGCATAACATGTAAAATATTTTTTGTCCAGTATTTATAGCCCTACTGTATTGTTATTACTGAGACTTTATTAATTTTTCTAACGATAACTAACCATACGTGTTACATATACAGGGCTCCAAAGTTTGGATTGTTGAGTGGATTATTTGAAATATCGAAAATATTAAAAAATGATTTTAATAAAAGTTGTTTGGCGATTAATTTCAAATTTTACATTGATATTGCCAACTTAAAAAAATAAATAAGTAGCCCCCCAAGGAGGCCAACTTTACAATTACAACCCCCTTTTTATATTAGAATTTGAAAGAGGCTATTTTTCTGATTACAGCGGTATAATAATATTGAACCGATATAGGAATGATATCAGGTGGTTGAGCGTTAAAATTTTTTAAATTTTTATAAAAGTTTTTTGTTGTAGTTTTTTTTAGGCTTTGTTTACTTCGAATTCATTTTTAATTCGACATTCAGTGCCACATAGGGTTGGGACAGTTGAAATTTTCAAATGAAAATTTCAACTTAATTAGTTGGAAAAGTGAAATTTTTTAAAATTTCAAAGGAATTTTTCAATCTGAAAATTTTAACATTGCCTGTAAAACTTTCAGAAATTTCATCGAAAGTTTCGCAATTTACTGAAAATTTCGCATAAATTTCACATGGGGCCCCGGGGAGCTTTAATAATAATTTACAACAGATTCCGAATCGACCAATACCGAGTTATCAAGCGTCTGGGCGTTTTTGTTTAGTTCGGCTTGGATTTGAATACACTATAAGTAATTATTGCTACTTATATACATAAATTAATTTAAATAATTTAATTCATTACCAATTTAATTTGTATATTAAATCAGACTTTAACATTTTTTTAAAAGTCATGATTAATTTAAAGTTTTACTTTTGCTATAATTGCATCGGAAAACGGATAAAAAATGCCTTTGGGTCATAAAATATATAATATATTATAAATATAAAACAATGAATGTGGCACAATCTCATTAGCTTACCAAAAAGTGCTATATCTCTCTTAGTTTTAGTAATTTAAAGGAAATCTCAAAAAATTTGTGGTAAACATAGGTATTTACTCCTAGTAAATACCTAGGGTGTGTCATTTTTGAGCAACTTTTTTTTCAACTAAAAAACAGGCTAAAAACTTTCAAGAAGGTGAAAAAAGAAGCCTCTAAAAATTTGAGCTCTTAATAATAACATTAAGTGGTGCCTGTTCCTAACTTTCCATTTTCCATTTAAATAACATGGAAAAAAAATATTTTTTCTTATTTTTCTATCTCGACATTTAAGCATTGTAAAAACGAACTGAAAAATTATTTGGTAGGAAATTGAACACTCTACAAAAAAGTACTAATTTATTTTTTCATAGAGTAAGCCGTTCTGAAGGTATTCAAACTTGCAAATGTATGAAATTATGAGTTACCTATATTGTTAAACTAATACTTTTTTATGTCTTAACAATTATTTTAAGAAAAAATAATTATTTTTGTATAGAAAGAAAATAACACTTACATCTCAATTTTTTTTCATTTTATTTCATTTACTATCAAAAAATTTGTGTTCAATAAATTTGTTCAATAATTATAATATATTAAATAAAACAAAGAATTTGTTATTGTATTGAATTTTTAATCTTTCTTTATTTTTTATAATTTTAAAGTCGATAATTCTGATCTGGGTTATAATATAAAGGCTATCTTAGCCTGTTAGATAATGGGACAATTTTAAAAAATTATAACTTTAGTTTTATTTTTCGATAAGAAATATTTCTATTGCCAAATTTATTCTCTAAAATATCCTGAATAATCAGAGCAGTTTGGCACTACCCAATTTCTATTAGTTTCCATCTCAAAATAATAAAATTATTATCTTTGTATTTCAATATTCTTCAAAACAGCTATCTGGCAATTAACCGTAACGTTTTTACAAGAAAAATTTATAAAAATATTTATTAATCTGCATACTAATGAAGGACTATCAAGGCTAAGCGAGCACTTCTATTAATAACGCAAAAATTTGGACGCATGCCAAAAGTACAATAATTAAAAAACCTGGGTGATTCGGTAAAACAACAATGAAGATATTTTCTCAATATGTCACATGCGTGGAGGGTGAAAATTTATTATGGGCCTTACTTTTCCCATGGATTACACAGGCATCAGTATTATAGAATCAGAGGATTAGTTTGTATAAATTAGCCAAATAAAAAGAACAAACATCTTATCGATATTTTTAGCCTGTTTGGAAGACCACAATTTAACTGTGGAAGTGTTCCCAACAAATTTATTAAACAGGGTATCTGTGGAAATGTGCGATAAAACAATTTTTACATGTGATATCACGAATTTGAAATTTAATATTGATGCAGATGACGATGCTGTTTGCAGGAGGGCCGTTGAAGCAGTTTTAGGTAAGAAGTGTAGTATGAGAGCGCAGTTAAATCAGAACTATTTTAGAGGCAAAAACAGCTTCTGAAGAGAACAGAAATCTCGAGAGAGCAAAGTCAAAAATAGGACTTTTTTGGAAAAGCCACGAAAAGAAAAAGATTTTGGCGGTCGAAGAAAAAGAATCGCCTGAGGACGAGATTTTGGCTCTCGAAGAGCAAGAGGTGCCTGGAGATGACGAGGAAAGTGAAAATGATGATATGGTCGATATAATTGAGGCGTTTCAAAGTCAGGAATACCAATACGACGAAAATTTATTTCCTGTGTTAAATATTAGTAGCGATTCCACTATCGTTGGCCGTATGTGAATAATTCAAAAATAAAGAAGCTTACCTGTTTCATTTGCAACATGTACTTATTATGTCCCATAATTAAAGTGCAATACTTTAACAGCAGATTCTACGTACAAAATAATCAATGATCAAACTTTTTATAGCCAATAAGATGTTATAATAACAATTTCAAATTTTCCATGAGGGGTGGGTCAGATAGATAGGGAGTAAGGGTAAAACTTCTAAAAAGTTATTTTTTTGAACTTCGATAATATTTACCATTTTCGCTTAAAATCGATTTAAAAATTACCTTACATGGCATAAAAATTCATAATGAAATCAACTACTAGAGAAACAGATTCAGCTTGGGCCATGGAACACGGCTGCCATGTATAGGAGAAATTATTCAAGGCAGGTGACATTTTATGCAAAGTAATAGGGAAATTGATCAATTCTCAAAATTTCATTTTTCTATCTTGAAAGGTTTTGAAAATATTAAATAAAAATCTTCATTAGGTGCTTCTCTTTTAGGGTGTGTAGCTCCCTTGAAAAGCATTTCTATACACGTAAAAAAAAATGTTAATATAAACATAGGTATATGTTTATATTAACTTTTTTTGTACGTAGAATCTGCTGTACTGTACGCTAATTGTGGGACACCCTGTACATTAAGTTTGGTCAAATGTTTTCCTGAAAATTTAGTTTAAAATTCTTTAATTTTAAATTACCAATTTTTGATTTTAAAAGAGCTTTTAAACCTGATACCTGGAAAATAAAAAAAGTAAAAATGTCCAAAAACATAAAAAATGTAATTTTAGAATAATTTGTCATAAAACAACTAAAATATTATTAAATTTTCTAAATTTTAGAGCAATTTTAAGACATTTAGGACAATTTGTTTTAAAAATGCATGTCGTAAAACATCTAAAATAATAAACTCTAAAACATTTAATAGAATGTTTTAAAAGTACCCTGAAATTTAATTTAATTGTATTTTAGAATAATGAAGCTATCTAAAATTGTCTTAAAACATTCAAAATGTCTTAATTTAACTGTAAATTTTATAATAATTTGTCCTAAAACTATCTTAAAATGACTTAAAAAGTCTTAAATGTCTGTCTCAATTTTAGAACAATTTAATAATATTTATTTAGTTTTAAAAAATGCATTACTCATTAATACCATAAATTGTCCTAAAATCTGTCTTAATTTTAAAACTATGTAAAACTAAAGACATTTATCCTAAAATGTTGTTAATTAAATTTTAAAACACTTATTAATTACATTTAGGACCATTTTTTCTAAAACTTTTAATTTTAAAACTATTAGCCCCTAAACTCTCTAAATTTTAGGACATTTGAGATCATTTATGTTAAAACTGCTTGTAATTATAAGTATAAATTTTAAAACATTTTGTCCCAAATGATCCAAAATGTCATTAAACCCCAAATTTTAGAAAAAAATTGGGACAATGTGACAAAACTGTTTAATTTTTCTGAAATGTCATTAAACCCTCCTAAATTTAAAAAAAATTAGGACAATTTAAATTGTTCAAAAACTGTTAAAATAGTCCTAAATTTAAACATTTAAATGTAATGTAAGTTAAAATAAGGACATTTGGGATAATATTAATGGTTGTGTCATTTTTTACAGTTTTAGAATATTAACTCGTAATCCTCTATTTAAGAAAATTTGTCCTAAATATACCATATCATTATAAAACATTTATTTTAAAACTTCTAAGGCTAAATTTTACTACAATTTGTCCTAAAACAGCAAAATAGTAAATCTCAAATTTTAGAGAAAAAAATAGAACATTTAAAACAATTTGTCTTAAAACTGTCTAAAATTGTCCCATAATGTCCCTCTAAATTTTAAGGCAATGTGTTCTAAAAGAAAATGTTATCAAAGTTAAAATAATTTAAATGTCATTAAGAGGTCAAATTGACGGTTTCGAAATTTTCTACAGTTTTTGAACATTCAGGACCCTAAATTTAAGGACATTTGTCCCAAAACTATCATAAAACATTTAAATTTTAATAACAACTTAATTTTAAAATAATTTTAAATTTTAAAAACTGTTTAAATTTTAGGACATTTGTTAAATTTTGTCTTAAAAATGATTAAAATTATATTAAACGTCTTTAGAAATTTTAAAAAAATTTGTCCTAAAAAATCAAAAACGTCATTAAAGCACAAATTTTAGATAAAACTGTCTAAATTATCCTAAAATGTCATTAAACCATCTTTGTGTATTTTAAATCGGTTTTTCAAAACCGACTAAAAAATGTCCAATAATGCGTTATAAAATATAAAATGCAAATAAAAAACTGTAATAATTTTGTTTTCTTTATTGCTGTCACCTTATAACACAAGTATAAAAGTATATTTATAAAATATATGTCTAAGTAAATAAGCCGTTAAAATAGGACCCATTCATCGCCAATTTAATTGTAAAAAAAAATAAATATAAGCAGTTACCTCTTTAGACCAACATCTGTCTAATCATGTAATTCAAAATACCTCCGTTTTTGTAGAAGAGCAAGTCGACCTCCGTGTCAAACCTCAGAGTTACCTCGAAGTTTTTACCGGAGTTTGTTTTAACCTTAACCGTTTGACCGGGCTTCAGATCGGAGCCCAATTCGATGTCGTAGATTTCTTTGCCGCTTAAACCGAGAGATTCCGCCGTTTGACCGTCGCGGAACTGCAGGGGCACTATGCCCATACCCACCAAGTTGGAGCGGTGAATCCTCTCGAAGGATTCAGCTATTACTGCTGTTATACCCTAAAAACAAAAAAAATACCGAAATGGAAATTGCTCTTAGATTACACCGGCACACAAAAAAATAAAAAGAATATGTAAATTGAGTAACATCACCTCAACTGGACCCCCCATTTCTCACTTGATCTTGGAATTCAAATTAATATATTTTAAGATAAAGTAGTCACTATCAATTAAAAAAAAACCCTTAAACATTTTTTTTTAATTTTCAATTTAACAACAATTTTTTTGACAATGAATATTTTGCAGACTTTTAATTAAAAACAAGATGACAGAAAAACCGTTAGAGAAATGAAATTTTCAGAATTTTTTTTAATATATTTAAAAAATTAAAGAAACCTTTTTTTGTAGATCAGTTCATTCCCAACAAAAATTTATACTACTTATTTTAAAATCCTAAATTTTCTGAGAACATACAATATCGTATTACATACATCTTTAATTTAAACCATATTTTTTTATATTTTTGTTATGCATAAGAAGTAACAGCGCCTTAAGGTAGAGAAAATTCCGTCCAAATCTAAAATCTGAATACTTTCCGTATTGCTTTATTTTAAACAGGTGTATCTTTTTTTATAAAATGTTTTTTTAACTTTTTCTTTCGGAATCTTACAAATTAAGGGTTTTTCTTAACATTGATGTATTTTTTTTTTGATTAGATAAAGACTTTTGGCGCGGCGGCGCTTGCGCTTGGGGATAAATAAATTCATATTGTTTAAACTAATAGCGGGCAGTGGAATTTTTTTGCAGAATATTTAACTAAAGTCAACATTCCTAATTTGAGGGAGAAGTCATTAAAATTTTAATTTGTTTATTTAAAAGTTAATTAAAAATATAATAATAAATAGGTAAATAATTTAAATTATTTTTCAAAATGTAAATATTAAACAAAAAATCCTGAAAATTTCATTAAAATATCTCTAAAGGTTTTTCTGTCATCTATTTTTTAATTAAGTCTCCAAAATTTTCATTTAAAAAAATTTTAAAAAACTGTTTTAGGGTCTGTCTCATTATTGATGGTGACTGCTTTATATTATAATACAGTGTGTATTAAAACGAATAGATACACTTAAATAAAACAAGTGGCAAACCCCGCCCACTGTGGTAGGGATTGAATTATTTTTGTTTGAGAATTTATAGGTTTTATTTTTATCGAATTCGTTTGTTTTGTTTTAATGCATTTCTGCAAATAAAAACTAAGTATTGTTTAAAATCCATTAAATTCCAGTTAATGGCGAAAATGTATTTCTTAAAACCTATACACATTTCCTTACGACAGCGTCGGACCTACTGAACAAAGTTTGTTCAACAAACACAGTAGATCAAAGTGCATGGCTGCATGCCGCGCCGTTGCCATATGCTATTATTGTTTCCTAAAAGGATTGTTTTTCTTATTTTTTAATATTAAAAGTAAGAAAATTAACTAAATCAAATTATTTTTGACAAATTATTAATTTTTTTGTTATTTTTAAAGTTTCAAACAAATAAACCACGCCCAATTAAAGTTTGTTTCTTTTTCTCTGATCAGAATATAATTTGTCATCCTTGTCTCCAGCCTTACTTACTTGATTCTATACAGTCTGTATATTAATTTGAATTCCACGATCAAGTGGAAACTGGGGGGTTCACTCATTACTTACCAGAAGGTGAGGCCCTTTAGCGGCCCAGTCTCTGCTGGATCCCGAACCGTAATCCTTGCCGGCAAGGACGATTAGCGGCGTGTTGTTGTTCCTGTAACGTTCGGAAGCCTCGAAAATGTCCACTTCCTCGTTGGTAGGAAAATAGATCGTTTTAGGGCCCGGCTTCGACATAAACTTGTTCACCAGCCTGATGTTGGCGAAAGTGCCCCTGACCATGATGGCGTCGTTACCCCTTCGGGAGCCGTACGAGTTAAACTCTCTCGGCGTTATGCCGCTCATGGCCAGAAACTTGGCGGCGGGACTCGTCCTGCCGATCGAGCCGGCAGGACTGATGTGATCGGTGGTCACGGAGTCCCCGAAGTAGCACAAAACCCTGGCGTCCTTGATCGGCGGCCTGGTGGGCAGGTCTCTCGTCATGCCGTCGAAGAACGGCGGCCTTTTTATGTAGGTGGACTCGTCGGACCACGGGTACAGTTGTCCGGCCGGCGCGACCAGGGTCTGCCAGTTGGACGAGCCCTCTTGGATGCGGCTGTACACTTCCTGGAACATGGCGGGGATGACGTGCTTCTGCTCGACGGCGTGGATTTCGGCGCGCGTCGGCCAGATTTCCTTCAGGAAGATCGGCATGCCGTCCGCGCGTTTGCCCAGAGGTTCTGAGAGAATGACGGAAATTAAAATTCACCAGTTCTTTCATGGTACAAGAAAACTATTTTTTTTTTGTAAAGTATATCAAAATAATTGTTTGGTGTGAAAAAAAAATTATTGTGAAAGTTTGAGTCCATAATATTAATATTAAGAGGTCTATCATCGCAAGTTTTTGTCTCAGAACTCCCACACCATTGAGTTTAACAAATTTTACTCAGAGATATTTTTTTATGGAAATTGAATGCTCTACAAAAAAGGTCTTAATAAAATTTTCCGTCAGATGAACCGTTTCCTAAAAATCATGCCTTAAAAATTGGTATAGTTTTACAATTTCATCTTTTTAACTTTGGAATTTTGTTATTCATGTAAAAATCAATACCCGGAAAAAACCGATAGATATTCTTATGCAAAATCAAATGCTCTACAAAAACAGTCTGAAACATTTGTGGCTAAATTCACTCAATCAAAAGTTATTCAAGGTTAAAGTTGAAGTCAAAACGAAATTCTTGTTATGTATATGTATATATATAGAGTAGAGAGGGGGAATGGGGACCACCTAAGAAAAATTAACCATAAAATATTTTTACTTTTTGAAAATCGGAATAGAAAGACTAAAGTCCAAAGAATATTCATGCATCAATTTAGAAATACAACTCGAATAGTTTTTCAAAAAAAAAAAATTCTTAACAAAGTGCTTTAAGGTCGTCATTTCCCACGTAACGGGGTAATTACGACCAAGTGCTGGGTAATCGCAACCAGGTATATTTGACTTGTGATGCTATAAGACATTTGACTTATGTTGTTATAAAAAAATTTATTTAATTCATAACAAACTAAAATTAACAGGTATTCAATAATAATAACAAAACAACTAATTATATACTTGAAAATATTACAAGAATTTACCCTGCTTTAAATAAACACGAATTGACTGAAGCCAATGTAGAATTTCTGGTTACCGACTGTTTTGGTTAGGTTAGGCTACTAAAGGCTAGGTGACGCTACTAAAATATTGTACATAAATATTACCTTAGTGCTCATTCATAATGGACGTAACCATAAGATGCCCGTAAGAAATACGTAAAACGTAAAGTTGAACATTAACAAAACCAGTGTGCCTGTTTATAATGAATAGCCGTAATTTTTACGTTTTACGTTCGAACATAAGATCTTATGGGTGACCGTAAAAAATACGTAAAGTTGAAGTCATCTCAACTTTACGGGTTTCTTATGTGTGAATTTTAGTAACTTTCATGATTTCACTAGAACATTGTTGGTAGCAATCAGGGTAGTAGCCATGCAAACAGATGACAGATCTTTTTCAAGTGTATTCTGGTATATCCACAGAACAAACAATCTAAAGAACCATTCATTATCCTAAAGTTTTGATTTGAGTATTATTCGACGAAATTCGCCCTTTTTTTCTTCTCTTTGCCAACGTATATATCGCTCATTACACTAATAATTATAATAACACTGATAGTTTTAACTTAATTTATATTTATAATAATTATAATTATTATGCCTTAAAACTTTTAAGTTTTAAGACATAATAATTAGACGAAATCTGTCAATGCTGCCATTTTAGTGAACTTGGACATGCGCGCCTTATTAATATATACATAAGCCATACGTTCATTATAAACACAACTCATCGTTACGTACAAATTATGGTGATATTATGTTTACGTTTACGTTTACGTTTACGGGCATCTTATGGTTACGTCCATTATGAATGAGCACTTACTATGAAACTTTTGATGATCGTTATTACCCGCTGGTCATCATTCCCCCACTTTACCCTATTATATAACTAATTAACAATTTCCAATAAAAAACAACATGATTATTTAAACGATTAAATAACAGTGAAAATAATATTTTCCAAAGAATAAAGCTTCTTAAAGCAAAAAATTCGAATGCGTTATAATTTTTTTTTTCAGTAACATAAAGATTATAAAAAGATAATTATCATCGATAAAAGAATTCAAGTTTTTAACTGACCCAAAAAAAATCTACAGGTGAAAAAATAATTTCATTTTGACTTATCCTTAAATAACTTTTGATGGAGTGAATTTAGCCAAAAATGTTAGGAAACTTTTTTTTGTAAATTACAAAATTCAAAAGTTAAAAGATCAAATCGTAAAACTATACTAATTTTTAAGGAATGATTTTAAGGAAAGGTTCATCTGACGGGAAATTTCAATAAGACCTTTTTTGTAGAGCATTTAATTTTCTTCAAAAAATATTTCCAAGTAAATTTTGCTAAACTCAATGGTTTGAGAGTTCTGAGACAAAAACTCGCTCATGAAAAAAAAATCTAAAATTGCGATGATATACCTCTTAATATTAATAGTATGGACTCAAAGTTTCACAATCATTTTTTATTGTCACCCCAAACAAAATTTTCGATATACTTTACAAAAAAAATAGTCGATTTTTTTGGCCCAGTCTAATGTTCTTGCGCATCTGTTTTCACCACTCCATCAGATTGCAAAGAGGTGGGAGCACAATTGTAAAAAATGTCTACCTGCCAAGTTAATTTCTGTAAAAACAATGCCAAAAGAAAAAAACCTGTAGGTAAACCCAATACATTTTCTTAGTATGGGCATGAACAAATTGATGTTAAGGATAGTTGGTGGCGCGCAAGAGCGAAAATTTAACTTTCGGCCCTTGTAGTGTAATATACATTACAACATTAAGTTGTAATTTGTACTGTACTTAAGTCACTTTGTAGATTTAGACAGTCTTGTATGTTGTTTAAAGGGTTATATAATTTTAATTAGCGACGAAAGTAAGTACTTTCAAACAAGGTATAAATAAAAAAATAATTAATAATATAAAATTGGCAAAAGATCTCTTATGAATGTAAACGTTATGTCAGATTTACGCATTATTTTTGATGATCTGATGACTTTGATAGCATAGTTAAAAGTTCGTATAGAATGGTTTTATTTTTATAAATACCAGAGATATGAATCCCAAAGTATTTAAATGTTTATATGAAACTCTTGAAAGAACAAAATTGGAATACGGATGTGTCATTTGGGACCCATATTATCAAAAATCAATTAACCTTTTTGAAAAATACCAAAATGAATTTCTAAAACTATAGCATTTTATACTCTGGATATGTCCATCTGATATTACATGCTAACAAGAAGAAAATATTACTGCTGTTTTTATTTATAAAATACTTAAGTACCGTTTAGATTGTCCTGAGATTTTAAAACTAAAAGTACCTAATACAAGATTGGGAAATACTCAATTATAAGGTACTCATGTCCCCGAACAAATAGGCAAATAAATTCGCCTTTATAAACTGTGATATTTTTATTAATAATTTATATAAATTTAAAACAAATTTAAAATAATTGATGTGTAGTATTTAATATTTACTAATGGTATTGTGCATATCTTGTATGTATCTTTCTTCTTTGTAAGTACTTTTAAAGAAGAAATAAATGAATAAATAAATAAATAGTATTTACTTTTAAAAAATATATTTTATTTGATTGAAACACCATATAAAATATTTTTTTCATTAATGGTATTTTCTTGAAATGTTAATATTGTGACTTAGATTATTCGACAATTTAATCTAAAAATCCAATAATTTTATAGAAATTTGAATGAATTTCATAAAAGAATATTTAAATTTAATTTCAAAGGCGGGAATAAACTAAGATGGCGGTAACTGGGTGGGGCGCAAAGTGAACCAAAATTCGGTTTACTGAAGAAAATACTTTGTTTTCTTGTACCATGGGTTTTTCCATATTTCTATATGGGTCATTTCACCGAATATTATTTTATTTGGTATGGCCCCTTCGTATTTTCGTATTTTTGATAAGTTAAAAAAAATCATCTAGAGAACGCATATTTAACGTTAAAGGGAAATGAAAGAAAATGTTTAGGGGCTAAAAGCATTACCTTTCTCAAAGTCAATATCCACTCTGCCGGCAATAGCATAGGCTATAACCAACAAAGGGCTGGCCAAATAGTTGGCCCTGGTGTTCGGATGAATTCTGCCTTCGAAATTCCTGTTTCCGGACAAGACGCCGCAACAAACCAAATCGTTCTTCTCGATGGCATCAGCGATGTTCTCATCAAGCCCGCCGCTGTTGCCGATACAAGTCATGCAACCATAACCTACAATCTCGAAACCAAGTTGCACGAGAGCCGGAATAACCCCGGACTCTTTTAGGTAGTAGGTGACGACTCCCGATCCGGGACTTAGACTTGTTTTTATGTAGGGGGCGACGGTTAAGCCGGCTTCCACGGCATTTTTGGCCAACATACCTGCTCCTAACATGACGCTAGGATTGCTGGTGTTGGTACAAGAGGTTATGGCGGCTATTATGACGCTACCGTGAGTTATGGTGTATTGCTTGCCGTCAAACATAAAGTTGGCTTTGGTACTTAGTTTGTTTTCGGGAATGCCGAAGCCTTTGAATCCAGCCTGAAACAAATGGAAGGTTTTTGAGAATTTACGTAAAAAAAATTTTTACACATGGACTTACCATATGCCTATTTTAACCGTTTTTTGACTACTAAACTTACTAATATTAATCCAAAACCATATTTTTGCAAAGAAAACAATTTAATTTTATCAAATACATAAAATAAAGTTGTGTTTTTTAAACACACAGTATATATAGATTTTTGATAACATTTCAAAATAAAATTCCCTTCTAGGCATACGTGACATATTTTTCAGCAATATAATTTCGCAACGCAAATAAATGAGAATCGGTTACTCATCGAAATAATAGTTTTGTAAATAAATAGCACACTGAAAAACATATTACAAAAATAGCCCATTAAAATGTATCAAAAACAATTAATATTTCGGGGAAAGCAATAACTGAATAATATTGTCTATACCAAAAGCATTATAAACTAATTAACAAGAAATGTACCTACATTTTTAATTAAAGAAATTTAAAAAGTATTTTGTTAATCGCTTTATTGTTGGTATTATTATTATAATGCCTAATAAAGGTATTATTTTGAGACTTTGTTACACCTCAATTTTCATATACATACTTTTAAAATACATTTTACTGTAGGTATTAAAAAATGGAAATATTGCTATGGAGTTTAGGTATAAGATTTTAGTAAAAATTAATATGCTTTTAAGGTAAATCTTAAAAAAGGTATATTTTAAGATACCGCAGGAATGTGAGAAAAATGTTGGATTTTTAAACTAAAATTGAGGAGCATCCGTGCAAAACCGGCTATATCCACTTTAACAAAATGTTGGGAAATGGCAAAAACTCTTGGTTTCCTGGCCTTTACAGATAAAAGAAAAAGCAAACATGAGTTTTGTGGGCTTTGCGGTAGTTGATTTATAAGACATACTTTCGTTTTCAAAAACTTTATATTAAGGCCAAAATTTCAAGAAATGTTTTGTATATAGCCGGTTTTGCTCGAAAACCGAATAAAATGTGAAAAAAAACCTTTATTTTTCAAAAATATTAACAAAATAAATTTAGTGCAAACATAAAAAAAAAACAGAACAAATTTTAGTAGTAGTATCGACATATCCAAGCCACATATTATTATTTATTGGATACAGCCGGATTTGCTATAAAAACGTGGATTTGGCCGGTTTTGCTCCTAAAGCTACCTTTTAAATGTGATTTTAACATGGATATAGTCGGATTTAAACAGAATTATCTTGGTTGTCGATAGAAATGAACCCAAAGATGCGAAATGAAAAAAAACAAAAACTAAATAAAATGGATTTAGCAGGTTTTGCACGCTTCTCCTCAATTATCGTTAAATATGAAAAAAATATGTGTAATTTCACCCCAAATTTTACGTATTATTTAAATGGAAAATTTTGGAGTTATCATTTTTTGAAATTTTGAAACTAGAAAAATAAATTAATATACAACCGATTTAAAAAAATCCTCTTAGTGTTTTTATTATATAACCTGGTAAAAACCTTTTGGGGTTAAAAAACGAAAAAAGCGTCTTAAATAAAAAAGTTGCATACAAAAATTGTCCAAATTAAACATTTTTTTATTAAAATATTTAAAACAAAAATAATAAAATCTAATCTCGAACTTCTTCCAACAATCTTATTTGTATATAGAAACGGTTGTATAAAGATCGATTTTTCAAGATCCAAACTTTTACATATAAATTTGAAAAAAAAAATGTTTTTGTTCGTATGGCAAACGAAAACTTTGTTATTTTTGGTAATTTAAAACAAAAGTAAGTTTATTATGTAAACATACACATTAATCTACATTTTCGTCCAATTTGTTTGCAGCATTTTTTGGTTGTATAATAATTATACACAAAGAAGGTATCGTTTTATTATAATTTTTGTTACACCTCATTTGTAAAATACATTTACCTGTTTACTGTAGGTATTAAAAAATGGAAGTATTGCTATGGAGTTTAGGTATACGATTTTAATAAAGATGTTTTAAGGTAAATTATAAAATTATATATAAATTATAAAAAATCCATTACACTTTTTATTTCTCCATCCTCAAGTTTTTACAGCATAAACAGGAACTTCGTAAAAACCTTTTGGGATTAAAAAACGAGAAAAGGGTCCCAAATAAAAAAGTAGCAAAAAAAAGTTCTCCAAATTCAAGATTTTTTTAATTAAATATTTAAAACAACATCTAATCTCAAACTTTTTCAATCTTATTTTTATTTACAAACGGTTGTATAAAGATCTATTTTTCTAGTTCCAAACTTTTACACATAATTTTGATGTAAACATTTTTTATTATTCTTAAAGGACGTGGAACCGCCATCCACTCTTCACAAAGTTGTATTGTTTTATCCTACTTTCTTTACTAACATTTCTGAAAATGGTCTTGTTTTCCGACAATATTTTTATATGACTCAGTATACATATATGTATACATATATATATATAGAATAATATCACGATTTCTTGCATAAAATTCTCAAATTTCGATCGATATATTAATAATCCGACATATGTACATAATAGAAGAGGAATTCAGCACTGGCAGACAAAACAAGATAAGAACTACGGTGCCAATTATTCACCAATGAAAATTAAGCTCGCATAGAAACTCTAATTGCAAATAAAGTACTGCCATTAGTTAGAGGTACTCAGTAGGCGGGGATATTCGTGTATATAAGCGCTCGGAAAAAGGGTGAAAGACATCAGTACCAACACAACAGCAACATAAGCAACAACAAGAAGAAAAACAGTGAAAGTTAAGTGATTGGCTCAAACAGATTTTTCTTTGGTGATCTAACTTATGATGTTGTTCGAATTCATAAAGCTAGGTTCAGCAAAGGAAAAGGTGCTTGAAAAGACCCGCATCCAACAGTGAGTACAGTACCACCACACACACACTCACAAGAAAAACACTGCTGCCAACACAAATCTAGTTGTTTCTTTGTGCAGTTAAGGAACTGTTGGTGTGATGTGATATCGAAAGCATATCACAGCCACAGTTTCCTAACTGTACATTGAAAAATATCGCGACCGAGAAGACCGCCACACCTTTATACTTTTGCGCACCTCGGCGGGACGACTTTACTCAGCAGATGCGATTTGTTGGGACATCACTGGGTAAAAGTTTGTCCCACTAGGGTGCGCCCTGTCACAATATTTTTCACGATATGTTTGGAGTTTTTTTAGCGAACTTTGGGTGATTGAAGCCTTGGTTGACGTTTTTTTTGTCAAGTCACCGGGTTAGAATCATCCTACGTTTACTTTATTGGCATTTTTAACAAGCTGAAATTAAATTTAAGTTATTTTAAGGAAATAATGTTTTTTGTAATAGTTTTATGTTAATAATGTTAACACTGCTTTTATTTTTTATTCCAGTAAATTATAAATTGTTTTATTTATTAAAATAAAAACACAAAATATTTTCTTTGATTAGTAATCATTTATTTTAAAATACGATTTTTTATTATCAATAAAACTTTATGATAAATTATTCAAAAGTATTTTTTTTTTAAATATGAAAAAAAAAACAAAAACATTTTAAATTAAAAATGCAAAACCATGTGATACTCATGTTTATATTATTATTTAATAACCTACAAATGAAATGTGATCTTGCAACGCAAAAACTATATTTTTAACCAAAATAGGAAAAACAACATCGATAAATTAAATGAAATGCATTAATATTGTTTTTTTGTATGGCACCCAATATATTTTTAAATATTTGGTTAGTTTTTGTTTTCATTTAAAAAATATAGTTTGCATATTTCAAATTTGTAAGACCTGATAAAAAAGTTCATAAAAACATAGGTCGTCAAATACTTATTAAATTTCCTTAATTTTTTTAAATACTGATTAAACGAATTCGACCATACGGTAGACAACATACGCTACATTAATTTAGCAAAAGTAAAGTTTAAAACATTACCATAATTAATAATAATATAAATTAGGTTTTACTGAACTCTAAAAATCCAAATAATTCAATAACGGATTTGGACAGGAGAACTTTTTTGTTAATTATGTACAGTAAATTTTTTTTAACAAAAAAAGACAAAAATTATGTCCAGTTTAATCCATAAAAAGTATAATACAAGGCTCCCTCTAGTGGCTACATTAAAACTCTGTACATTGTTTTCTTACACCAACGTAAACCATTTTTTATGCAATATTTTAGAAATTCTATTATTAAAACTTAATTTAAACATTCTGTATCTCGAAGCGTTTGTCAACCTATGTTTATACAGTATGGCTAGAGGAAAAAACAATATTTAAAAATTGCTAAAAATTCATTATTGGTAAAAGTTTTTGCTTGAAGGTGAAGAGGCAATTTTAGTTTTTTTAATAAAAATGTTCAAAGCCAAATTTATCGCCAAAAATTATTTTTCGATTTTTATCCATTTTTTCGCATTTTCATAAGTGGGTGAATCTTACGAAAGGTCCCCCGATGGTGTTAACCCGTGATATTTAATAAAACTAAAGTTTATTCATATCCAAGCTGGACTAAATGTAAACACAATCCTCCGAATCCACCAATAAGAACTCACAATCCGAGTCACACCATCAGAATCGACCAATAAGAACAAGTTATCATGCGTCTGGGCGTTTTTGTTTAGTCCAGCTTGGATTTGAATACACTTTAAATGAGTTTGACATACACTTTTATTGTGTTTTGATCTTTCATAATTAAGTAGATATTACAGGTCAGGTTCCAGATTTTTAACCGCAATTAATTATTTTTTACAATGTTTTAAAGGTCTAAAGCCTATCCTCCGTGACTCTTTCTAGGTTAATCTTTGTTTTCAAATATCTGAGATAGTAAAAGCATCCTAAAAATATCAGTTCACTAAGTAAATTAAACACATCCAAAGCAATCGAATCAAATATAAAATATTATTAAAAATTTAAAGAAATAATTTTTATAACCATTTATGTAGGTGTTATAAAAATTGATTATATCCTCCGTGAATCTGTTTTTGCTTTAAATTAATCATTTTAAATAAGCAAAAACCTCTGTTTACGACATTATAGATGCATGTTATTCCTGAAGGTCAGTTAGAATTTATATGCAGATGAGAGTGTTGCTGTTTTATAATTCAAAAGTTAAAGTTCATTAATTTGCTATTTAAAAACTTATCCACCGTGAAGTGTGGATTTTTTTTATAAATATTTTATGTATGTACAGTACATCTGTATTTTTAAAAAATATTAAGGTGTCAAAAGATACAATAACTTATTTCAAAAATACAAAGGGATGTTTAAAAAAAACATACGAAATCCTTATCTCCGTGAAGCTATCTTCCGTGAAGCTCTAATATTCAAAATGTATGATTTCTTAAAATTCTTGCATTAGTGCAGAACCACTTATGTTATGTTATTACTAGACCTGGTGGCTTCCCAAAAACCCCATTTTAGACTAACAGTGAAACAACCAAAAATAAAAAATATTCATTTTCACTTGGGGGACATCTCAATATATTAACTATTCACTAAATATATATATTTACTTGTAACATTCATTTCTTGGAAAGAAAATAAAAATGACCAAAAATGTTATTAAAAAAATGTTCAGTACAACATTTTTAGAAAAATCTTAATTGCAAATTAACATTAGACAATACAAATGTAGGACCGTCACGATTTGTCACGCACGATGGGTTTTTTAAAACGTCACGTGTCAAAATAATGTCCAATTATCTAAAATCACCCTTTTATTAAAAAAATCTTATTATTTGAAATAAAGAAAAGTGGTTATTAACTAAAAATATTTAGAGTATTAAGACTGAAAATGAAATGATTTTTAATTCTTTTTAATTTTATTTTACAGTTTGAAACATTTCCTTTAATTTTCTATTTTTTACTCTGCAAAATGTGAACATTTATATTTAAAATGTCAAACTTAAATTCAGCTTGATAAAATGTCATGAGGTAATGAACTATTTTTTAAAAACTTTGGTCTAAAAAATTTGGATTTTACATTAGGTGCATTTCCGAAATAAGAATTCAAATTCAGGTAACCACTTTGATTTCGTTACCGAAATTGATTTCTTCCTTGGCGATGCACTCTACCATGTTTTTTACACAAAAAAATTGTTTAGGAAAAAAACATAAAATCCTGAAAATCACCGCCAAAGAAAATGAAGTTTTTCCGTAAAGCAACCTCTTGCCTCTGATATTGATTATAAAATTATCGCGGGCAAGAGTTTGCTTTACGGCGGAACGAAAAAAAAACAGCAACAATCTGACAACGATGGATACTTCGTTTAAATCGGGTAAGTCAGGATTATGTAACACTCACTTTTTATAGGGGTACCTGAATTATGCCCATAAAAAATGGTGTGCCATGATCCTGACTTACTCGATTAAAAGTCGTCAAGAAAATGAGAAAAAAAGAAGAAAAATCCACAAATGGTTTTTTATGATTGGTTGACTTTTGCTTGGTACGTGAAATTTGCCAGTCGCACCGGGTTTTAGTCGACTAATTATCGAAATCTAATTAACATTTGTTAAATTTTGCGTTTTTAGTTGTTTACAAAGTCTATTCATGCAACAGGCGCAGTAGGATGATCCATCTTTTGAAATTTTTTTGATTTTTTTTTCTCTCAGGGGCTCATAATTAAAAAAATATTCTCCAAGTTTCAAGTTCCTATCTCAATATTAACCCATGCCGCATTACAGTGTAAGTTTGCTATATAAATAACATAGGGTTTTCGGGATTGAATAATTATTTATTTCTAGAGGTATAGCTTTAAAAATATTTTTTAAAATTTATTTTAAAAACTATGAGCCCCTGAGAGCAAGAAAATTCAAAAATTCTCAAAAGATGGACCACCCTAAGGCGTAGTGAATAAAAATATTTTTAAGCCGTCTGTTAAATGAATAGACTTTACCCATTTACTCTTTTAGTTACCTTTCCATTATTCGACGTTTTCGCGATATCACGTTAAATTAAGAGAAAAAACGAACCATTTATTTATTCTAAATTATGTTGCTTACCTTGTTGGTCAGACAATCGTGGAAATCCTTCTTCATATCGGAGACGGAAACTCTGTCGTTAGGTCTTTTCGGACCGCTCACCGAGGAAACCACCGTTGCCAAATCCAATGCGACGGTTCTCGTGAAGGCTGGTTCGTCGCACTCTTCGCAGTTAAAATCGCGCAGCTGTTTGGTGGCGACCAGGTAAGCTTCAATTAGTTTCACTTGTTCTTCGGTACGACCTTAAAAAGAGAGAGTTATATAAGTCAGTGTTGCCAACTGTAGGAAAATTGCCCTACACCTTTAGGCACAAAAGGATTTTCTTTAATCCTCGGGAATTTCCGTCAAAATTATTCTTAATTAAAAAAACTACGTACGTACGGAAAAATCTAGATAAATACGAAGAAACCCTGACGTATTTTACAAAACATAATTATTTTTCGCCCCTTTGTGATGGCACTCAAACTTCATAGTGCACAACCAAAAATTATCAAAGCCATTTCTTCTAAAAACGGTTAATTTTAGAAATTTTAAACAAGAGGACCTTTTTTGTGTTAAATTAAATGAAAACTCATAAAATGGAAACAAAATACCCAATAACATAACTCAAAAAAAAAAATTGGGGGCGTGCCCATTGACCACCCTGTATGGGTCCCCCTGAAAATATGTCAATATTGAGTCTACAAAAAAAAGTTGTGCGTGTGCCAAAAGTTTAAGTACAAATAAAATATGAAATTTTAATGTTGAGTGCCATCTTTAAGGGGGCTAAGCATCCTTATAAGGCATTTTTGACTCCACATTCTAAGAAACTTTTTTATACCTATTTTGCGCTTAGAATCACCCCTTAACATTTTTGAATGGAATTCGGAGACGCCCTATATTTTATACAGTGTATAGCATTATAATTATAATATAATAGGTAATTTTTTTAACAAATTTTTTTTAATTTTAATTCTATTGTATAATATGTTTTATCGTCTTATACAGTGTAACGCGACTATTCCACTCATTACTTTATGGACCAATTAGATTTCAGAAAACGAGTGGTTTTTTCAGTTTTGCAGCGATAAAACTACTATTTAGGTGACTATTTCCCTCGTCTTAATTTACACCAATCACAAACGCGCAATTTTGAATTAAAAATGGTTTCTAGGTGAAAAACTGTGTGACAGCACCTGTCAGCAGATTTTTCGAGTTTACCTGCGGCAAAACTTGACAGCTGTTGTCACCACAAATTGCAATTTATATTTTAATTGTTAACTGTTACTCATGAAATAGTCTTGTCAAATACAATTCGGTCATTTAATTTTTCCTGTGAAAAAAAATCAAAAAACACAATGCTAAGTAATATTTTTTAACAAAATTCATTCGTGCAGGTGCAAAAATCCTCGTCTTCGACTCGGATTTTTGTTGCCACCAGCACTCATGCTTCTTGTTAAAATATTACTAAGCAACGTGTTTTTTCGATTTTTTTCGGAAAAGTTAGATGCCCTTATGATATTACTTACGACTATTCCACTCATTACTTTTTGGACCAATCAGATTTCAGAAAACGAGTGGTTTTTTCAGTTTTGCAGCGATAAAACTACTATTCAGGTGAAGTTGCATAACAACCAATTGGTTGCTATGATAAAAATAATTGTCACTGTTGACGTTTTTAATTTTAAAATTAAAATGTTAAAAAATATGCGTTTTGGTCCAAAAAATCATACAGAAATTGAATCAGCAGTTAAAAATATTCGTGAAATAGTCTTGCCGAATACCACTCGTGATAAAATTTTCCCTGAAAAAATTTTTGATTATTATTTACTCAAGATTTTTCCTTGGAAATTTCGCTCGTGGCATTAACTTCAAACCCCTCGCCTAGCGGCTCGTGGTCTTAAAAATTAATGCCACTTGCGAAATTTCCAAGAAAAAAACATTCGTATAAAAATCAAAAATTTTATCGTATATAATACCACTAGTGGTAAAATTTTACCGATAAAATTTTTGATTTTTATACGAATGTTTTTTTCTTGGAAATTTACATTTAAATCAGGTTAAAAGGTTTTTACCACTTGGTTAGTTGGTTCTATAAAAAAATAATTATTTAAGTTCTCCTAGAACTGACTAAATTTGTCAAATTATACAAGAAATGCTGAAATGCTTGTAATACCATGGTATGTGCAGGTATTTCTGAGATCACAATAATGTTGATAATAACCAAGATACAAAGTGTATTTATCGTTTGTTTTTAATTTTATTAAGTTTGAAAAAAAAAAGGTTTTAGCACAAAATTTGATTTATTGTGATTAATTTGTACTAAATAAATATTTAAAAAAATATTTAAAAACATAAATTTTTTAAAGACAATGACAAAATTGGATAGTAACTAAATTTGTAGCGTCTCCTAATGTATTTTTTTAAACTTGCTTTTAAAAAAATGTTACATTTTCAAAACGCAATAACAATTACAATTTAAATGCAAACATATCGAAAACCGTTACTTGCAGTTACATTTAGAAAGAATACCCTTTTCAGGATAAAAAAAATAATATTTTTAATAAAAACGTAAATACACTAAAGCCTGATTTATAGATTGCCTTTCTCCCGTAGAAGATGAACAATACAAAAACCTGTTGTCCCGTACGGAAATCTATAAATGGCACTACGATTTTCTTATTGTTCATTTTCTACGGGAGGAAGGAAGGCAATCTATAATTCAGGCTTAAGGCGCAAAAAATATGTGAACATTTAAACGTATGCAAATTGTTGGAGACATTAATTTTTAAGAAATTTTCTAGGCCTAAAAAACCCAAAAATCAAATTTTGTGCAAAAACGTTTGTTTTTTGCAAAGTTCTTTAATAAAATCGAAAACGAACTTTCAACTTTGACACTTGTATCTTGGTTACTATCAACTTTGGTATAGACTCTATAAATTTAGTTATATCGCATTATTTCGGTGTCAGGAATATGTGGTATCATTTTGTACAGTCATTTCAAGGACACCTTGTATAATAACTAGATCTTTAAATATTGTATATTTAAAGAATTCACTACAAAATTTTTTTATATTTTAAACCATATGCTAAAATCATAAAAAAATCCCTAAAATGACTAAAGAAAATCCTTAAAATGATTTTTTTTATCCAAAAATAGAACAATTAATCCAAATTTTATATTTACTTGTTTGTTTAAGGTACAGTAAGGAATTTTCATCCACGGGGAAAAATCCCACAGTCGCTCCATATTCAGGGCTCATATTGGCAATTGTAGCCCTATCAGCAATGGACAAAGCTGAAACTCCAGGCCCATAGAACTCCACAAACTTTCCAACCACACCAAGTTGCCTCAAATGCTAAAAAAAGTAAAGTAAAGTTTTTCGTAAAACTTGACAAACTTGCAACTTTACTTTCGTTATTGTTAGGACCAAATCGGTGGATGTAACGTATGGCCCCAGTTCCCCGTGAAGTTTGTAACCAACCACTTCCGGTAGTAGCATGCTAATCGCTTGGCCCAACATGACAGCTTCAGCTTCAATGCCGCCGACACCCCACCCCAAAACTCCCAGACCATTGATCATGGTGGTGTGGGAATCGGTACCAACCTAGGAGGAAATTTCAAATATAAAACACAAGTTATACATACTTAGAAATGGAAATAAAAGCATAAAAATTGGACTTTTATTTAGTTCTCAACGCCTCGAAAACTTACAACAGTATCTGGGTACAGCATTGGTTCATCCTTTCCAGTAAAAACTACCCTTGCAAGATACTCCAAATTTACTTGGTGAACAATACCACTACCAGGTGGCACAATCAACATGTTATTAAAAGCTTTGGCACCCCACTAAAATTAAAATAAATATTATTAAAAAAAAAACAATTTGTTATAAAATTACTTTCAAAAACATAAACCTCTCTTTGTTCCTCTCGAACTCCATGTCTTGATTTTTTTGCAAAGCGTCAGTTCTAAAAAAAGTAATATTAATACCAATTTTGCACTCTCATATAGTCCACCCTTACGTTCTAATAAAATCTACTTGTATGGAATGATCGATAACCAGATCTGCGGGACAGATGGGGTTAATTTTTTTCGGATCGCCCCCCAAAGTTTTTACTGCATCTCTCATAGCAGCAAAATCCACCACCGCTGGCACCCCTGTGAAATCCTAATGTTGAAACAAAATAAAACCATGTATTTTATATATTTATTTTTACAGGGTTTTTAAAAATTTTAAGTTATGTTTTCATAACACAAACATTTATTTATAGAATATTCAATCAAACCACCAATTAATTTATTATTTACAACAACATTTTGTTGGTTTATTTTTTCCGCGCATGATTAGTCGAGGAAATTGTAGTGTGGCGCCATCTATAGACAAAGATATTCTTTTAATCAAAATATTTTCTTAAACTCCGAATAAAGTTAAGAAAACTCCCTTATCCTAATTGTTTCTATGCCAACTGTTTTAAAATGTAATACTTTAGCTAACCAGGAAAGCAGCATTGAAAAGTTTTTTTTTAAAGCTTTACACAAAAACTCCATTTAATAAGCCAAAAGTAAAGTTCAACTTACGTAGGTTCAAATAGAGCGATAAAATATTAACTTTTAAAAAATTGCGCTTTAATATTATATGTTAACTAATTTATTATTATTTATGTAAATATTTTTCAGTAAACAAGTACCTTCATTTTAATGAATCAATATATTAAAAATGTTAATTAGACATTAATTATTATTCTAATGAATGCATTAATTTGTAATTTAAAAAACAAGAATCATGCTAGGTATTTGCTTATAGGTAAATAACTATAAAACACATTTCATTTATCAATTATTATTTTTTGCACTGATAACTTTATGAACTAATACCAAACTGATAAGGTCACATTGACTTAATTTATAATCTAACTATAAAAAAAAATTTTTAATCCCAAAAATTTGTATTTTTCTAAACTTTAAAACTTGTTTAAATAAAAAATACCTACATATAATTTTTCACTTAACTTACTTGTAAAATTACTCGAGCAGGCTTAAAAGGGATTTCAATACCCCCTTCAACAGTTGAATTTTGTTCCCAATTCAAGATATTCTCAACATCTTTCTCTTTAATTTGGAAATTATCGCAATTTCTGACAGCAGATTCCAGGAGAATCCTGATTGAATATGGTAGACGATCTATAAAGACATTTAAATCATTTATCATAAAAATTAATATATTGCATTTATAGGCATATTAACAAAAATACTTGAAATATATGCATTTTTATATACAGGGTGTTATGCAAAATCCTAGAATTAAGGTTAAGTATCTGTCACTTAAGTAGACTGGAGGTTAGGTATAGTAGGATTAAGGATTATTTATAACACACAATGTCATGCTGCATTGTCAAATGCACTGAGAAAAAAGTTTATGGTTCCCAAATAAAAAGAATAATTAAATATGGGAAAGAAGCATTGTTTATTTATCCTAAATATATTTTTATTCCTGATACATAAAGTTTTACTGAAGTAAATTTATCATTATTATTTCGACTATTTAGGGGTAATAAACAATATATTCACTATTTATAAAAAGTATTAGCTACACAGTTTATTTGTCCCATGTTTTCTCAGTGTGGCATTTAAATTCCTATTTTAACTGTTTATTTTAATTTTAGAAGAGTTAGAAATACATTAACAAAGCAAGAGTTCTTTCTAGAACTACAAAAGTGCTATTAATTAGAAATAATGTATTTCCCAGGTCACCCTTCTTATATCCTTTTTCTATGGTATTTCCTTTGGATATTAATTTAGCTAATTTATATTTTTAACTTTTAATGATTTAAAAGAAAATCTCCAGAAAAAAGCAATATTTAGGCATTGGTTGTTGGGAACTTTAAAATTAAAAAGACATTTGCTTAAGTCCTGCTACTAAAGCCTGTAGGCTTATAAATGTATATGTCCTATATTTTTTATTGGGCGATATTGTATGGAATGACCCTTATATTTGAACTGTTAATATCATCTTACCATATTTTTCTCCAAAAGATTTAAGATCATAAAATGTGTAATCCTTTCCCCCTATATTATGGTTCTTCAGTAATTTGTTGTAAGGGTTGTTCCCTAAAAATAAACAAAAATCATAGAAAAAGTTGGGTTATATAAAATCATTATTAACAATAATAGAAATAATTCGCCTAATTATACTTATTTACCAGCCATTGTTTATAAGTAGCTCGTCACGTAGCAATTAAAATTGTGCAGTTTATTAACTGTCCTGTTTTGTCAAAAAGTGACACGGTAAACAGCTGATACTTAAAGGTCAAATAAATTTACGAAATTTTTCGTATCTCATTCAATAAAACACTTAAAAATAACACAGAAACATTTATAGAAATAACGCAGAAAACTTCAACCGACGAAAGATAATAAATAAATAGTTTATTTAAAAATTGTTGCGCTTGAGTGGGTTTGCAACAGTGCTGCCAACTCTTTTTCAAACATAAAAATCCTACTAGAATTCTATTAAATCGAAAGTCTTTGTTCCAAATAGGTTTATTTATACAGATTATGCAGATCATAAAGGTAACCCACAAAACTAGAAGGTTTGTGAGGTAACCACCATAGAACTAAGTTGGCAACACTGATTTGTAATAGATAACAATTTCGCCAACGGAAATTGGTTTTGAGGTTTAGAAATAGATGGCGCACTGCGTAAAACTGAGAATTAAAGTTTTAAACGCGATTACAATTTTTTTTGCATTTAAAAAGCTATATATTACAAAATATTGTATTAACTTTACAGTAAATAAATTAATTTACTTACTTGGTTTGTCTGGTAAATGACCCTTTTGGGGTTTTTTATGTCCAATATTCCACATAAAACGCAAATTTACACATTTAAAACCCTGCACAAACTTAATCTTTCGTACAAGCATTTTCTCAAATAAAATAGTTTTCGAATTTGTTGACATCCAAACAAAAATTATGTCAAAAACTGTCATAATCGAATTATTTTTCATCACAAATTTTGACCACCTCACAGTGGTCTGAGAGGCAAATTTACGCGGCAAAAATCCAATTTTTAAAACACTTTATTAACGTATTTTGATGCCTCTTTATTGTTCGTGACAGATTATTACCTAAGATTTTAAACTGCGAAGTAGAATTTACTGCGTATGCGTTGCGTTATAACAAATACATGAAAAGATTGTCAAAAATACTCTTACTTTCGGAATCTTGTCTTTTTCGTGTAAAAAAGGTATTGCGTAAATATGAGTACATTAGATGCAAAACTCGGTTTTTGCACATTTTTAAAAAATATATATTTTATCTTATTTATGTTCATACACTGAGACAGTTTATTTGTCCCATTTTTTTCTCAGTGTATGATTAGCTACATGTAGCTAATACTTTTATTAATAGTGAATATATTGTTTATTACCTCTAAATAGTCGAAATAATAACGATAAATATACTTTAGTAAAACTTTATGTGTCGGGAATAAAAATATATTTAGGATAAATAAACTGTACCCTTGTCCCATATTTAAATATTTTTTTTATTTGGGAGCAATAAACTTTTTTCTCAGTGTAACTGCACTGCCCACAGTAAACCAGATGCATAAGTTAATATTTGTAGAATAAAATACATTTATAAACTTACCTCAGCTGTAAAACTGGGTATTTGTTTCTTCCTGTCGGATGCAAAACTCGGTATTTGACCAATCACCAATAACGTCGCTAGTATACGCATTAACTGACGGCATAACAATCACCTGATTAATTGTTATTTTTTTGGTATTTGCACTTTTCACTTGCAAAACTTGGTCTTTGAACGAGGAAGATGCAAAACTATGTTTTTAAATCTTTTGATTTCAATTATTTACTAAACTACTTAATTTTAAAGGACTTTTTTTTACTTTTTTGAATAAGAAATGATGCAAAAGCACGTCTATACGATTTTTGTATTTTTTTTTTTCAAATATGACCTTATGAGCGGTTTTTCGTGTTTTTCTTAAAATCACTTATCCTGCAAATACAGAGTTGTGCATCTAATGTACTCATATAGTAGTGAACATTATTGTCAAAAATTTATAGTAGGGATAAAGTTGAGTACAAATACAACTTTAAAATGTCTTTTTTGGATTTTTTCCAAAAATATAGCGTTTTTAACCTACAAATTCTCAAGTTTTGTAATTACAAATAATAAATAGAATAACTTGCCCAGAACCTCCAGCTCCGACTTTATAAAAATTCAGCTGCCTTCATGCGCCTATAAGAGAGTTATAACTCTCTTATAGGCGCATAAATGCAAAAATGAAAAATGGCCGACAAATTAACGCTAACCTGGTCATAAAAGTAATATATTTTTTAAATTTGACAATAATTATTGCATTTAAGAATGGTAATACAATTTTCTTTACTCCTATTACATAATATTATTTTTTGAATATAGTTTGTATATTATACAGTGTGCCCACGGATGGTAATGACAATACAAAAAAACTTTTTTATTACCTAGGTACCTACGTATCATACGTATGATACGATAAAAAAAACATGTTATTTAAAAACTCTTGCTTGTTTCAAAAATAAGATTCCTACACAAACATTTTGAATTAAATGTACAGGGTGCTCAGAAACTAAAAAAACCAAAAAACTAGAAGTGCGTTTTGTGGAGAAATATTTTTTTTTTGAAAATATTTGATGGTTAAAAATTAAGACTTTCATAAAAAGATGAATTATATATACAGGGTGCTCAGAAATTAAAAAAAATATATATATCAAAATAAGAGAGAAATGTGGTAAGATATTCGTAACGGGATAGCAAAAAAACATTCTTCATAAAAACTTGCTTGTATTTAAAAATGAGATTCCTAACAAACATTTTTAATTAAATGTCCAGGGTGCTCAGAAAATAAAAAACCAGCAAAGTGCTTTAAGAGTAGTACAATAATTATTGTTCTATATATATGAATCTCAACAAGCAAGAGTATTTAACGCATAATAAAAATAATAAGTGTTCCTATAGGATACATTGTGGATATATTGTCAACCATCACGATATTGGCTAAAGGGTTGTTAAAAAGAAATATGGTGAAATGTAAAACGTTGATATAATAATATATTTTTGATACTTTGAAGGTAATGGTTTTTCGGTTATTCATGATAAAAAATTATGCTTGCGCCATGTTGCAATCGCCAACATTGGCGATCGCTCCCTGTTATTTATTTAATAAATAAATTATTAAATAAAAAACAAAAAATACACAAATTAAAAAAAAAATCATTTTATATCATTTGGCTAGACTTAGCCCCGTTAAAAACATAAAAAAACACACGTCTTGGGAAAAATATTTAAAGAATAATTTTTGCCGCGTAAATTTACCTCTCAGACCACTGTGCACCTGTAAGAATACCTACCTATAGATACACCCAGATAACATTCGTGAATGCACATTAAACTCACACCGGGCGCACGCCGTGAATCTTCAAAATTGAATGCATCGTGAATTCACCGTGAGTTCACAGATAACATTTGTAATGCACATTTAATTCACATAGGGCGCACGCCGTGAATCTTTAAAAATGAATTCATCGTGAATTCACTGTGAGTTCCCAGATAATATTCTTAATGCACATATAATTCATGCCGGGCGCACGCCCTGAATCTTTAAAAATGAATGCATTGTGAATCCGCTGTGAGTTTCCAAATTAAATTCCTGAATGCACATTAAACTCCTACCGGGCGCACGCCGTGAATCTTCAAAATTGAAGGCATCGTGAATTCACCGTGAGTTCACAGATAACATTTGTAATGCACATTTAATTCACATAGGGCGCACGCCGTGAATCTTTAAAAATTAATTAATCGTGAATCCACTATGAGTTTCCAAATTACATTCGTAATGCACATTAAATTCACACCGGGCGCATGCCATTAATTACGTGAGGCAATTTTGGCGATTTTTCGACTCCTCCCTCCCCTTGGTGAGATGTCGTGAGATTTTGCCCGACCCCGTCCCCCCTCCCTTAATCTCACGTGATATGTTTTAAAATGCATTGTTTTAATGTAAATAAGTTAATCTGTAATTGATTCCATTAGATTTATTAAAAAAAACAGTTGTTATAATTGTTTACTTAATTTAACCCAGTTTTCTCGCCATTTTACACTGTTTCATTTTTTTTTTAAATTACGTGATATTTGCCAAGACCACCCTCCCCTAAACACCTCACGTAATTAATGGATGCCCCCTAACATTTCTTATGCACATTTAATTCACACCGGACGCACGCCGTGAATCTCCAAGATTTTATACAGATCTGTTAGCACGTTTAATTAAAGATCTTCAAATTTATTTTGATAGGTTAGCTATACCTCTGTTTGATAGGGAAGGTATACCTACCCTATCAAAATAAATTTGAAGACCGAATTCGAAATAAGAAAAAGAAAACATAACATTAAAGGAATATTAATTAAAGATTTTTATTAAATATTAAACGGAAAATAAAAAAGCACATTTTTTAATTAATATCAGTTATTAATATTTAATATACCTATAGGTAATAATAATTATATATAATAATTGCAAAACCAAATACGCGGGCACTCGTGCGCATGCGCCTATGGCCGTCACATTTCAACTAAATGCAGGGTTGCCGCTTGCAGGTATTTGACCCGAAAATCGCGTATTTCATCATGCTTGCAAGTAAAATATTGAAGCAGGTATTTTATAAATTTTACTTTTCAAAGAAATTTTCAGTAAATAATATTGTATAACTACTAACTAAACATAATTCTTTAATTCTATCCTTTTATTTTTCTCTTAATTTATTCAAAATTTAATTCACTTTTCCAAATTGAGCAAATGTACTAGAAATTTTTACTCGTGTGGGTAATTTCTAGTATTTTGTAATTTTTGGTCGGGAACTTTCACGAAAATCATCCGGCTGTAATCCGGCAACACTGCAGCGTTAGTGTGCGTACGCAGCTAAGAGCCACGAGGTTTTCTATAGAATACCATATATGGTAAACATCTAGCTAGATATCCTGTATACCGGTAAAACGTTCAGTTCATATCCTTTTTCTATGGTTCAGATAAAAACGTTCAGTTTCAAGGTGTATGTATCTTGGTTCAGTTTTTCAGTTTTATAATATATAGGTATTTAGTTCAATAAATACTTAAGTTGCTAGCCAGGAATTCCAAAGGTAAGTTTGACATTTTTATATTTTTGCATGATCAAATTTAAGATACGAATATTATTGTATATATACTATAGTAGATCAGTGCACTGATAATAATTGTTAGAATTATTGCAAAAACAACAAAAACAATGAATAACCATGGTTATAACGCTTTATTGTGGTTATATTTTTTTATAAAGTTTTTATTCATTGTTTTTGTTTTTGAGTCAGATC